CTCATTTGTTCTGTCTGTTGCTCCAGCTGGTTGGATGGTGCCCACCCACATTGAGGGCAGGTCTTCCCTACCTGGTCCACTCAGACTCACACTAACATCTTCTATAGACACACAGAATAGAATGCTTTTCTAGGTTTTTAGCTGCTCCTTAATTCAGTTAAGTTGACATCTGAAATTAAGTATCATAATGCTTATGTTAAAAAAATAAGATTTTGGAGCCGCTGCTGTGGTGTCTCAGGAAAAACTGCCAGTATCTCATATGAGTGCCAGTTTGATACCCAGCTGCCCCACTTCTGATCCAGCTCTGTGTTAGACTTAGGAAAGCAGTGGAGGATGGCCCTGCACCCACGTGAGAGACCTGGAAGAAGCTCCTGGCTCTAGGCTTTGGCCTGGCCCACCTCCAGCTTCATCGTTACAGCCATTGGGGGAGTGAACCAGTGGATGGAAGACCTCTTTTTCTCTCTCCCTCTGCCTCTCTGTAACTCTGCCTTTTCAAAAAAAAAATTTTTTTTTTCATTTTTTTTAAATTGAGGTGGTGTTAGTATTCTCTTCATTTTGATGCCTGTTCCATGAATTGCAGGACTTTTTTTTTTTTTTAAATGCTGTGCCCCTGGGACCGGTAGAACTTTCTAGATAAATGCTTTTGTTTTTGTTTTTAAGATTTATTTATTTTGAAAAAGAGAGAAAGAGAGATCTTCCATCCACTTGTTCACTCCCCAAATGGCTGCAGCAGCCAGGGCTGGGCCAGGCTGAAGCCATAAACCAGGAGTTAGAACCAGGTCTCCCACATGGGTAGCAAGAGTCCAAACACTTGCCATCTTCTGCTGCTTTTCCCAGGCCATTTGCAGGGAACTGGATCAGAAGTGGGCAGCCAGGACATTAACTGGCACCTCTATGGGATCTAGGTGTCACAGGTGCAGGTGTCACAGGTGGCTAGTTACTTTAAGAACCAAAGCTGTCCTCACTCACATGCAAAAGGCATTTCTCCCCAGCTAAGAACTAATAGACTAGATTGATTTAAAGTTTTTTCAACTCTTCTGTGGTTTTAATTTAGCTTAGAGTTTCTAGATTCTTTGTAGAGACATGAAATTAGAATTTTGTGTTTTATGTTCCAGTGTGAATGGTTTCAGTAGCTTTCCATATAATATCACAGAATTGCTTGCTTGGCAATTTTGGCACAGTGGGTTAAGCCACTGCCTGCAATGCTGGCATCCCATATGGGAGTACTATTCGAGTCCTGGCTACTCTGCTCCCAACCCAGTTTTCTGCTAATTTGCCTAGGAAAGCAGTGGAAGAAGATGCCAATGCTTGGGCCCCTGCCACCCATGTGGGAAACATGGATGGAGTTCCTGGCTCCTGGCTTCAGCTCGGCCCAGCCCCAGCCATTGCAGCTGTTTGAGAGAGTGAACCAGTGGATCTCTCTCTCTCTCTTTCTCCCTCTGTCTCTTCCTTTTATTAGTCTGCCTTTTAAACAAATAAACAAACAAAAAATGATGCCTTTGAGACAGGCAGATCCCATATTAGAGTGTCTGAATTCGAGTCTCAGCTTCCCTGCCTCCCATCCAACTTCTTGCTAATGCACACCCGGGAGACAGCAGCTGATGGCTTAACTGCTTGGGTCCCTGCCACCTATGTAGGAAACCCAGATTGAGTCAATCTCTCTCTCTCTCTCTCTCTCTGTGATTTTCTTTCTGACTTTCAAATAAATAAATAAATCTTTTAAAAAAGAAAAGTTCTAAATTGGGGCTGGTGCTGTAGCATAGTGGGTAAACCTGCTGCCTGCAGCATTGGCAGCCCATATGGGTGCTGGTTTGAGTCCCAGCTGCTCCTCTTCTGATCTAGCTCCCTGCTAATGCACCTGAGAAAGCAGCAGAAGATGGCCCAAGTACCTGGGCCCTCTGCAGCCACATGGGAGACCCGGAAGAAGCTCCTGGCTCTTGGCTTTGGCCTGGCTCACCTCCAGCCATTGTAACCAGTTAGGGAGTGAACCAAAAGATGGAAGAGTTCTCTCTCTCTAACTCTGCCTTTCAAATAAATAAAATACATCTTTAAAAACAGATCTTCTAAATTATCTGAAAAATACAAAATTGAAAATGCTTATGTCTAATTTCACACAAGTAGGAAATACCTTTTTAAATGACTTTGTAAAAGCATCACACATATAAATGTATAGAACAATGTAAAAAAATACCTAATTTACTCATTAATGGAAAGCCAAGGGGTTGGTGCTGTGGCTTAGTGGTAAAGCCTCCACCTGCAGTGCTGGCATTCCATCTGGGTGCTGGTTTGAGTCACGGCTTCTCCACTTCTGATCCAGCTCTCTGCTATGGCCTAGGAAGGCAGTAGAAGATGGGCCAACTCTTTAAGCCCCTGCACCTGTATGGGAGACCTGGAAGAGGCTCCTGGCTCCTGGCTTTGGATAAGCTCAGCTCTGGCTATTGTGGCCATTTGGGGAGTGAACCAGTGGATGGAAGACCTCTCTCTCTCTCTCTGTCCCTGGCTCTCTATAACTCTGCCTTTCAAATAAATAAATATTTTTCAAAGATTTAATTATTTATTTGAAAGTCATAGAATTACACAGAGAGAGGAGAGGCAGAGAGAGAGAGGTCTTCGATCTGATGGTTCACTCCCCAGTTGGCCGCAACAGCCAGTGCTGCGCCGATCCGAAGCCAGGAGCCAGGAGCTGCTTCTGGGTCTCTCATGTGGGTGCAGAGGCCCAAGGACTTGGGCCATCTTCTGCTTCCTCAGGCCATAGCAGGGAGCTGGATCAGAAGTGGAGCAGCCGGGTCTCGAACCGGCACCCATATGGGATGCTGGTGCCTCAGGCCCAAGTGCTTGGGCCCCTACACCTTTGTGGGAGACCTGGAAGAAGCTCCTGGCTCTTGGCTTCGGATCAGCACAACCCTAACCATTGCGCCCAATTGGGGAGTGAACCAGTGGATGGAAGACCCCCCCCCCCCTTTCTGTAACTCTCTCTCAAATAAATTTTTAAAAATTAAAAAAATATATATTTATTTATTTATTTGAAAGGCAGAGTTACAGAAAGAGGAGAGACAGAAAGAGATCTTTCACCTGCTAGTTCACTCCCCAAATGGGTGCAGCGGCTGGGGCTAGGCTGGTCCCAAGCCTGGAGCCTATAGCTTCTTTTGTTTCTACCACATGGGTAGCAGGGATCCAAGTACTTGGGCCATCCTCTGCTGCTTTCCCAGGTATATTAGCAGGGAGCAGAATAGAAGTGGAGCAGCTGGACGGTGAACAGGCACCCATATGGGATGCTGGCTTTGCAGACAGAGGCTTAACCCACTAGGCCACAATGCTGACCCTGAAAACATTATACAAAGGCCATCAGCTCTACACTAGAGGTGGCTGTGAAATCATTCTTCAGCTTCTTCTGTGGCAATCAGGTCAGGGTTTAAATGGAATGGATTTGATCCTGGTGGCTATAAGGACATGATTATGTGTTATTTCTGCTTGAATTAGTTTATTGACTTCTGAAAAAATACACTGCAAATTTAATAAGTCATTTACCATGCCAAATGCAGTATGTTTCTTTTTATTTAGTCCTGAACAATGCCACAGCATACTTACTGCTACTGTCACCATTTTATAGATGAAGAACCTGGGGCTTAGAGAGCTTAAACAGTTTGTTCATTGTTGCACAGTTAACCCGTGACAGACTAGGACCAACCTGCTGACAACAAAGCCTTCTTGATCCCTGTAGTCCTATCCATAGCTCCTCAGGTGTCTGACAGCCTATTCAGTCTCTTAACACTGGATGGGTAATGGAAGGGCATTCCTCCATTTTTAACTGATATACTCTTTTTCCAGGGTAATTATAAGCTTGATAGCCCTTATAAATGAATTTTCAGGTGAAAGTATAATTTAAGGGTCCAGAGTTGTGGTACAATGGATTAAGATGCTGTCCGAGGTGCCGCATCTCATATGGGCACTGATTCGTGTTCAGGCTCTACCACTTCTGATCCTGCTTCCTGCTAATGTGCCTAGGAAAGCAGGCGAAGATGGCCCAAGTGCTTGGTCCCTAGCACCCACATGGGAGACCTGGAAGAAGTTCCTAGATCCTGGTCAACCTGGCCCAGCTATAGCCATTCTAGCCCTAGACATTGAGGCCATTTGGGGAATGCACCAGTAGTTGGAAGATCCGTCTGTCTGTCTCTCTTTAATTCTGCCTCTCAAATAAATAAATCTTTTTTTGAAAAGGTATAATTTAAAGGGCTGGTGTTGTGGCATAGTGGGTAAAAGCTACTGCCTGCAGTGCTGGCATCCCATGTGGGCACCTGTTCAGGTCCTGGCTGTTCCACTTCAGTTCAGGTCTCTGCAATGGCCTGGGAAAGCAGTAGAGGATGACTCAAGTCCTTGAGCCACTGCACCCATGTTGGAGACCCAGAAGAAGCTCCTGACTCTTGGCTTTGGCCTGGTCCACTGCTGGCCGTTGTGGCCATCTGGGGAGTGAACCAGCAGATGGAAGACCTCTCTCTCTCTCTCTCTCTCTCTCTCTGCTTCTGCCTCTCTGTAACTCTGCCTTTCAAATAAGTAAATCTTTTTTTTTTTTAAAGTGTTAAGAGGAATTTAAATAAGCATCCTGTAGTTTGTTTTCTTTCCTTTTTTTTTAAATTTGAGAGGTAGAGTTAGACAGTGAGAGGCAGAGACAGAGAAAAAGGTCTTCCTTTCATTGGTTCACTCCCCAAATGGCTACAATGGCCAGAGCTGCGCCGATCCAAAGCCAGGAGCCAGGTGCTTCTTCCTGGTCTCCCACGCGGATGCAGGGCCCCAGTCATTGGGCCATCTTCTACTTAACCAGGCCATAGCTGAGAGCTGGATTGCAAGAGGGGCAGCCGGGACATGAACTGGCGCCCATATGGGATGGTGGCGCCGCAGGCAGAGGATTAACTTACTGTACCATGGCACTGGTCCTTGTGGTTTATTTTCTTATCAGTGATGTTTCATTTGTGATAAACCCAAATTGACATTTTATTTTTCAGGTCCTAAACATGCAACTTTCGGATGGAGGACAAGGAGATGTCCCTGTTGATGAAAACAAACTCCACGGTAAACCTGATAAAACCTTGCGCTTTTCCCTCTGCAGTGATAATCTGGAAGGCATATCTGAAGGTGAAGGGTTACTTCATTCAAGGAGTTGTGTGATTCAAGTAATGTTTTGTGTTCTTTAAAGGAGCCTTATAAATTAGAATTATACTATCTGTGCCTCTCACTGAAGAGAGTAAAAATTTTCCTTTAATGAGCTTGAACAGCTGACTGTGAAGATTGTTTTCTAAATAAAACTAAGATAGTGAGAGGCCTTTGGTCATATAAAACAGAGAAAATCTAAGTCTTCTTTCAGACTTAAAAATAGAATAACAAGTTTTGTTTCTCTATATTAATATATACCAAAGCTTATAGAGCTCCTTTAGAAGGATGTAATGCATGTATAAATGGGAAAAAAATAGATGTATTTGTATTTCAGGATGTTGTATATAATTTTAATGTCCTTCATTTCTTTATTCACATATCCACACCTTTATGAAGCAGAATATAATGCTAATAGGAATAAAAGAGAAACATTTTTTTAAAGATTTATTTTTATTATTTGAAAGACAGAGTTACAGAGAGAGGTAGAGACAGAGAGAGAAGTCTTCCATCCGCTGGTTCATTCCCCAAATGGCCACAATGGCCGGAGCTGAGCTGAGCTGAAGTCAGGAGCCAGGAGCGTCTTCTGGGTCTCCCACATGGGTGCAGGGGCCCAAGGACTTGAGCCATCCTCTACTGCTTTCCCAGGCCACAGCAGAGAGCTGGATCTTAAGAGGAGCAGCCGGGACTCGAACTGGTGCCCATATGGGATGCCGGCACTTCAGGCCAGGGCTTTAACCCGCTGTGCCACAGTGCCGGCCCCAAAAGAGAAATTTTTTTTTTGACAGAGTGGACAGTGAGAGAGAGAGACAGAGAGAAAGGTCTTCCTTTGCCATTGGTTCACTGCCTAGTGGCCGCTGTGGCCGGCGCACTGCAGCTGGTGCACCACGCTGATCCAAAGCCAGGAGCCAGGTGCTTCCTCCTGGTCTCCCATGGGGTGCAGGGCCCAAGCACTTGGGCCATCCTCCACTGCACTCCTGGGCCACAGCAGAGAGCTGGCCTGGAAGAGGAGTAAGCGGGACAGAACCTAGCGCCCCGACTGGGACTAGAACCTGGGATGCTGGCGCCGCAGGTGGAGGATTAGCCTATTGAGCCATGGCGCCGGCCAAGAGAAAATTAAAAGCCAAGAATGTGAAGTGACAGTATATCATTTTTGGAGATGTTTATTTTCTACTTGAAAGGCAGAGTGGCACAGAGAGACAGAAAGAGATTGACGTCTGCTGGTTGATTCCTCAGATGCCCACAACGGCCAGGGCTGGGCCAGTATGAAGTCTGGAACCCTAAACTCCCTCTGGGTTTCCCACATGGGTGGCAGGGGCCAAGCTAACAGGCCATCGTATCTGCTTCCCAGGATGCATTAGCAGGAAGCTTGACTGAAAGTCAAGGATGGGGCTGACACTGTGGCAAAGCGGGTTACTCAGCTACCTATGGTGCCAGCATCCCATCTGGATGTTGGTGTGAGTCCCAGCTGTTCCATTTCCAATCCAGCTCTCTGCTAGTACAGCTGGGAAGACAGTTGAGGATGGCCCAAGTACTTGGGCCCTGCCCCCCATATGGGAGACCTGGATGGAGTTCTTGGCTCCTCCTTTGGCCTGGCCCAGCCCTAACTGATGTGACTGTTGGGGAGTGAACCAGTGGATGGAAGATAACCCACTTGCTCACTCACTCTCTCTAACTCTGTCTTTTGGATAAATAAATAAATCTCACAAGGAAGAAAGGAAGGAGGAAAGAAGGAAGTTAAGAGAGAGAAGCAGAGGGAAAAAGAGAAGATAAGGTAAGAAAGAAGAGCCAGGAAGAATCAAACCTGTGCTCTAACATGAGCTGCCACATCCCAAGTGGTAGCTGAATCCCTGTGCTACAACTCTTGCCCCCAAATTTTTTTTAGTAAAAAGAAAGTTCAAATTTACAATTGTTTAAAAGTAAACAAAAAATGTGATAACTTCTCCATTTACTAACCTTTTAAAAAAATCACATAAGTATTGTATGTCATTCTAGAAAATGCAGAAAAGAAATACATTTATCTGTACTCTCATCATCCTCTTAATTACAGCTGACATTTTGGTTTATTTGTAGCAAAATTAGATTTATGCTATTTTATGTCCTTGTTTGTTAATGTAACACTAACACTTCTTTTTGTAATTTTACAATCTTAATTTGTTTTAGGACTTATTTTATTTATTTGGAAGGCAGAATGACAGAGAGAGGTAGGGATGGAGGAAGAGATTGAGAGATTGAGATCGTCCATCTTCTGGTTCACTCCCCAGATGGCTGCAACAGCCAGGGATAGGCCAGGCTGAAGCCAGGGTCTTAAGTACTTATTCTGTCTCCTGCTGCTTCCTAGGCACGTTAGCAAGGATTGGAAACGAAGCAGCTGGGATTTGAACTGGTTCTTGGATACGCGATGCAGCATTGTACCCACTGTGCCACAACGCTGGCCTCTACATTCTTAATTTTTTTTTTTTTTTTTTTTTTTTTTTTGACAGGCAGAGTTAGACAGTGAGAGAGAGAGAGAGAGAAAGGTCTTCCTTCCATTGGTTTATCCCCCAAAATGGCCACTACGGCTGGTGTAATGCGGCTGGCACGCTGCGTGATCTGAAGCCAGGAGCCAGATGCTTCCTCCTGGTCTTCCTTGTGGGTGCAGGGCCCAAGAACTTGGGCCATCCTCCACTGCCTTCCCGGGCCACAGCAGAGAGCTAGATTGGAGGAGGAGCAACTGGGACAGAATCCAGTGCCCTAACTGGGACTAGAACCCTGGAGTGCCGGCGCCGTAGGTGGAGGATTAGCCTATTGAGCTGTGGCGCCGGCCTACATTCTTAATTTTTAATGGCTGTTTTCTTTAACTTCAAATGAGCATATCATAATTTATTTCAATATCTTATGAGTAAGCATGTATATTGCTCCTATTTTTCAGATATTATAAGAAGCTCTGTAGCACGTAACCTTAGACTAATTTTTGTTTAGTGACTTAGGATAAATTCCCAAAAGAATAATTGCTGGCTCAAAGGGCATGTATATTTTTAAGGTATAGATGCCAAATAAAGGGATTTTAATCAATCTTTAGTTTCTTATCAAGGCATGGAAACTTGGGTGATAGCTCATGGCTGTTTTAAAAGGATAACTCATTATAAACATTTCTCCAGGTCCTTCAAATCGCTCCAATTCAGTATCCTCTCTAGACCTGGAAGCAGAGTCTGTGTCAGAACTAGGAGCAGGACCTTCTGGAAGCAATGGTGTTGAAGCTCTACAGCTGTTAGAGCATGAGCAAGGTAAAATGAGGTTGAGCATAATTTCCCAAGCAGTAAATAATTCCCCGATTGCAGGATACACAATGTTTGCATATAAGTTGACAGTTCAGTCAAGAGAATAAATTTCAGATGATTAACTAGGGACCATTAAACTTGCATTTATTCATGGTTCCTTGAGTTCTTAAAATGTTTAATTGATAAGTCAATTGTTTAGGCTTAAATTACATAGAATAATTAATGTGAATTACTTTACATTCTGTAATATTTGGTATTTCAATTCTGTAATATTTAAGGGATAGAATGATAAATACTCGGGGTCAAGGAACTTAGAATAGGGACAGAATGGTACACAAATGATTAAATGTATGTAAAAGTGCTTTGGCAATTTTGAGTGAGGGATACATGTGGTTGAAAGGATAGAGAAAAGTTTATTGGAAGAAAATACCAGCCTTAAAGTTTGGCTTATATTGCAGCTGGCAGAAGTTGGAGACAGGTTATTCTAAGAGAAGGATGAGCAAGTTAGAAAGGTGGAAAACCACAGTACTTGTTCAGGGATTGTCGAGGGAAATAGGTGAAGTGAGGACTGAAAAGTGCGTGGATCCCTGTAGTGGAGACAGGAAGCCTGTACTTTAGTCGCAAGCCAGAGGTAGGAAAGTATTTAGTTAGAGGGGAGGAGAGGGTGATATCCTTTTGTGCTTTAAGATTAATCTGAGAAAGTTATTTGAATTTGCCCACTAAAGACCACTTGTTTAGGAAAATATGCCCTCAGCCAGCTTTGAGGCAATAATTCTTTACTTTAGCATGAATCAGCCAGGCAGCCTTTAAAAATTCATTTACCAAGTCTCAATGTTTAGAAATCCTTGTTTGGACCATTTTTAGAAAGGAAGAACATTGCCCTTAGAGTGTGTTTGGCTTAAATAAAACTGTATTTTCCTGGATCCATTTGTAAGTGTTTCAATTAGGATTAAAATAAGAGAAACCTAAAGTAACATAATCTTACAGCAGAAGCTGAATGAATATTACCTTGTTAACAAGCTTTCTGGGTACATCTGATATGGTTGGCATTCTACATTTTGTGAAATGTTAAAATGTTGACTGAGGGAAATTGGTCTGCAAAGGAGAGAGAACTCTAGAATGCAGAGGGGAGTCATCTAAGTCAACTGAAAAACATTTTGTAATATGGGTTTATCAGTTAACTATTGGCATAATAGTGTTATATAACAGACCACCCCCAGAACACTGATTTTTGCTCTTAGGTTTATGGATCAGCTGGTTGGTTCTTGATCTGGGCTAGGCTCAGTCTTGCATTCATGGTTGGCAGTAGTCAAATAGGGCTCTCTGCTATTTTTAAGTAGGGGTTCAGCTGGTCAAAGGGGAGCTGACTTGGCTAGTGAGGTCTAGGAGGGTACTACGTGCTTAGTTTTGGTAAAATGTACAACTTGAAGTTCAAAGACATCAAGTTGTTTAAAGTTGAATGATAGCCTTGCTGCCCTTTAAAATGCTTAATTTTGTTTCCAATAGCAACAACACAAGATAATCTTGATGATAAGCTAAGGAAGTTTGAAATTCGTGACATGATGGGACTAACAGATGACAGGGACATATCAGAGACAGTGAGTGAGACCTGGAGTACAGATGTTTTGGGAAGTGACTTTGATCCAAACATCGATGAAGATCGACTACAAGAAATTGCAGGTAACTGCTATTCAGTATTCTGGAACATTGATGTTTATTATTATTATTATTTTTTTTTTTGACATGCAGAGTTAGACAGAGAGAGACAGAGAGAAGGTCTTCCTTTCCGTTGGTTCACCCCCCAGATGGCTGTTATGGCCAGCACACTGTGGCCGGCATGCTGTGCCAGTCTGAAGCCAGGAGCCAGGTGCTTCCTCCTGGTTTTCCATGCGGGTGCAGGGCCCAAGCACTTGGGCCATCTTCCACTGCACTCCCGGGCCACAGTAGAGAGCTGGGCTGGAAGAGGAGCAACTGGGACAGAACCAGCTCCCCAACCGGGACTAGAACCCGAGTGCCAGCGCCGCAGGCAGAGGATTAGCCAAGTGAGACGCGGCGCCATCCAATGTTTATTCATTTCTACTCACCCTTCATGGGAGGGAGTGTTAGTGTCTTGACGCACACAATGTTTGTGTTAGAACTCACTGGTAAACTCTGATAAGTGTATAGAACAAGGTGTAAGGCATATGGATGTTTACTGCACTTAAATACAGGTAATATTTTTCAGCTTCACATTTTATTTCCACTGATCCCGTAACATGAGAAAGGTGTTTTTTTGAATTAGCTTCTTGTCAAGTCTTGTTTGTAGGGCATGTGCATGTTTAGTCTGTGATGAATGTATTCTCCTCCTGAGACTAAACACCTCATCTTAAGATGAAATTTTTTTTTTTTTTTAAGATTTATTTATTTATTTGAAAGTCAGAGTTACACAGAGAGAAAAGGAGAGGCAGAGAGAGAGAGGTCTTCCATCTGCTGATTCACTCCCCAGTTGAATGAACGGCCGGAGATGCACCGAATCAAAGCCAGGAGCCAGGAGCTTCTTCTGGGTCTTGCAAGCGGTTGCAGGGGCCCAAGGACTTGGGCCATATTCCATACTTTCCCAGGCCATAGCAGAGAGTTGGATTGGAAGAGGAGCAGCCGGGACTTAAACCGGCACCCATATGGGATGCCGGTGCTGCAGGTGGCGGCTTTACCCGCTACGCCACAGTGCCAGCCCCTAGATGAAATTTCTTATAGATTATAGCCATAAAATCTTTTTAAAAAAGATTTATATATTTATTTGAAAGACAGATATATAGAAAGAAGGACACAGAGAAATCTTCTAAATTCTTACTTAATTTTCATGAAAGCCTCTGGCGGGAGATGGTATCACCCACTGTATCCACAAAGAAACTAGTTCAAAGAGGTTAAATTTTTTTTAAAGATTTATTTGAAAGTTGGAGTTACACAGAGAGAGAAGGAGAAGCAGAGGCAGAGGCAGAGAGAGAGAGAGAGAGAGGTCCTCCATCCGATGGTTCACTCCCCAACTGGCCGCAACGGCCGGAGCTGCGCCAATCCGAAGCCTCCGGATCTCCCATGTGGGTGCAGAGGCCCAAGCACTTGGGTCATCTTCCACTGCTTTCCCAGGCCATAGCAGAGAGCTGGATCGGAAGTGGAGCAGCTGGGACTTAAACTGGTGCCCATATGGGATGCTGGCACTGCAGGTGGTAGCTTTACCCACTATGCCACAGTACCAGCCTCTAGCTATAAAATCTTATTGAAATAATGTGTACCAAAGTTCTCTAGAAAAAAAAGCGATTCAGGGGCTGACATACTGACATAGTGGGTAAAGCTGCTACCTATGATGCTGGCATCCCTTGTGGGTGCTGATTCTTGTGCTGGCTGTTCGCTTCTGATCCAGCTCCCTGCTAATGTATCTGGGAAACTAGCAGAGGATGCCCAAGTGTGTGGGCCCCCACCACCCACGTGGCAGAACAGAAGTCCTGGTTCCTGGCTTGGGCCTAGCCCAGCACTGGCCATTGTGGCCATTCGGGGAGTGAACCGGAAGATAGAAGATTTCTCACTCTCTGTTTTCTCTCTCTCTTTCTGTAGCTATGACTTTCAAAATAAAGAAGTTTTTTTTTATTCAAATCCAAAGGTTAACCAGTTTTTTTTTTGTCAAGTTTATTGAGGTACAACTTACATATTAAATTTCACCCTTTTTAGGGTATTGTTTTATGAACTCTGAAAGATTTATTATATCTTTTTTTTTTTTTTTTGGACAGGCAGAGTGGACAGTGAGAGAGAGAGACAGAGAGAAAGGTCTTCCTTTGCCATTGGTTCACCCTCCAATGGCCGCCACGGCCAGCGCACTGTGGCCGGCGTACCACACTGATCCAATGGCAGGAGCCAGGTACTTATCCTGGTCTCCCATGGGGTGCAGGGCCCAAGCACTTGGGCCATCCTCCACTGCACTCCCTGGCCACAGCAGAGAGCTGGCCTGGAAGAGGGGCAACCGGGACGGAATCCGGCGCCCCGACCGGGACTAGAACCCGGTGTGCCAGCGCCGCAAGGCAGAGGATTAGCCTAGTGAGCCGTGGCGCCGGCTATTATATCTTATAACTACAAGCTTCATTTTTTTTCTTTTTAAAAAATATTTATTTGAAGATTGCCGGGAGAAGGAGAGAGAAAGAGAGATATCTTTGATCCAGTGGTTCACTCCCCAAATGGCCACAATGGCGAGTGGTGGGCCAGGGCTCAGGCTGAAGCTGAGAATCTGGAACTCCCACATAGGTGGCAGGCGTCCAAGCACTCAGACCATCTTTCTCAGCTTTCCCATTGGCAAGGAGCTGGATCTGAAGTGGAGCATTTAGGATTCAAACTTATGCTCTTATATGATGCTGGTGTTGCAAGCAGTAGCTTAGCCTGCTGTACCACTATGGTGGCCTGTACATTTTCTTTTTATTGATCATTATTTTAAATGTGTTTATTTATTTTAAAGACAGAGTGGAGGAGAGATAGGGAGGTATCCTCCATCTACTGATTTACTTCCCAGATGGCCACAACAGCCAGGTCTGGGCCAGACTGAAGCCAAGAGCCAGAAACTCCATGCTTGTCTCCCACACGGATGTCAGGGGCCCAAGTACTTAGGGCAACTTCCACTATTCCAAGCACATTGCCAGGAAGCTGGATTGGAAGCAGAGCAGCTGGAACTTGAACCTGTGTCCTACTGTGGACTGCCAGCATGACAGGTGCTGGCTTAACCTGCTGTGCCACAACACTGGGCCCTTCATTTTCTTTTTAAACATGGAACATTTCAAACAAATACAAAAAAATGTATTGAGTCCATTAGACCCAGCTAATTGCTTCAACAATTAGAAATACATGGCTGTTGTTTTTCTGTTTTCCCAACCACTCCTCCATTATGTTTAGGCAAATCCCAGACATTATTTTACTTGTAATTATTTTGTAGTATATCTTTGAAAGGTAATTTTTTACCAGAACATTTTGCCATTTCCATACACTAAATTAGAATTATATTTTATTAATTTAGTCAGAAGTAGAGTAGCATTCTAATACTTGAGTATTTTAACATGGTCATACAGTAATGGTTAATCCTTTTTTTAAGATTTATATTTTATTTTATTTGAAAGGCAGAGTTACAGAGAGAAGAGGAGAAAGAGAGTCACTGGTTCACTCCCTGAATGACTGCAATGGCCAGGGCTCGGCCAGGCCAAAGCCAGGAATCGGGAACTACTTCTGAGTCTCCCACGTGGGTGGCAGGGGCCCTGCAACTTGGGCCATCCTCACTGTTTTCCCAGGCACATTAACAGGGAGCGGGATCAGAAATGGAGCAGCTGGGACTTGAACTGGTGTTCATATGGAATGCCGCTGTTGCAGGTGGCAGCTGATTGCGCTATGCCAGAGTGCCAGTCCCAAAAGATTTCTTTTTTTTTTTTTCCATTAAGATTCATTTTTAATTATCTTTATATACAGAAGATCAACTTAGTATATACTAAGATTTCAACAGATTGCACCTACACAGACACACAAAGTATAAGGTAGTGTTTGAATACTAGTTTTACTGTTAATTCGCATAGCACAGTGCATTAAGGACAGAGATCCTGCATGTGGAGTAAGTGCTCAGTGATGTTGATTTAACAATTGACACTCTAATTTATGACGTCAGTAATCACCCGAGGCTCTTGTCATGAGCTGCCAAGGCTATGGAAGCCTCTTGAGTTCACAAACTCCGATCTTATTTAGGCAAGGCCAGAATCAAAGTGAAAGTTCTCTCCTTCCTTCAGAGAAAGGTACCTCCTTCTTTGATGGCCCGTTCTCTCTGCTAGGATCTCACTCACAGAGATCTTTCATTTAGGTAATTTTTTTGCCACAGTGTCTTGGCTTTCCATGCCTGAGAAACTCTCATGGGCTTTTTAGCCAGGTCGAATGCCTTAAGGGCTGACTGAGGCCAGAGTGCTGTTTAGGACATCTGCCCTTCTATGAGTCTGCTGTATATCCCGCTTCCCATGTTGGATTGTTCTCTCCTTTTTAATTCTATCAGTTATTATTAGCAGACACTGGTCTTGTTTATGTGATCCCTTTGGCACTTAATCCTATCCAGAAGACTTCTTAATTGATTTTCATTCCGTGTGCCAAAGTGTATTGTTCCTGGCAGCAGGTTACATTTGCAGTTGAGTGAGTGCTGTGAAGATGCGTGCTTTCTGCTTATCTATTTTATTGCTCTGAATATGTTGATGATGTCCTGGAAGAAAACCATTTTTAACCCTTGTAACTTTCTATAGTTAAATCTCTTTAAAGATCCTTATATTTTTCTTTTTTTCTTTTTTTCTCGACAGGCAGAGTGGACAGTGAGAGAGAGAGACAGAGAGAAAGGTCTTCCTTTGCCGTTGGTTCACCCTCCAATGGCCGCCGCGGCTGGCGCGCTGCGGCCGGCGCACCGCACTGATCCGATGGCAGGAGCCAGGAGCCAGGTGCTTTTCCTGGTCTCCCATGGGGTGCAGGGCCCAAGCACCTGGGCCATCCTCCACTGCACTCCCTGGCCACAGCAGAGGGCTGGCCTGGAAGAGGGGCAACCGGGACAGAATCCGGCACCCCAACCGGGACTAGAACCCGGTGTGCCGGCGCCGCTAGGCGGAGGATTAGCCTAGTGAGCCGCGGCGCCGGCCAGATTTTAATCTTTTAAAGTTAGTTAGTAAGAAGTTGAGGACACATGTAAAATTTGCTGAAAAACCAAGGGAAAAGCTAGTTGACATGACTTGACCTAATGATATGTGGTTTCTCTATGGAGAGTCAGTTTCTCTATGGAAAAGAGGATGTGCTATTGTGACTTAAGTGAGAATTGGTGTTTTTAACAGTTCGCTTGATTGAAGTGATTCTTACTTTGGCTTCTTTCTTATGAGCAGAGAGAAGATGTTAGCTTAGTGTTTGCTTTGACCTTTGTCTACTGCTGCTGCTTTTTACAGCCAATCTTTGTTAACCCTTTGCTCCCCACCGGTTATACAGGTGCAGCTGCAGAGAACATGTTGGGCAGTTTGCTCTGCCTCCCAGGCTCGGGGTCAGTGCTTCTGGACCCTTGCACTGGTTCTACAATTTCAGAGACAACCAGTGAGGCTTGGAGTGTAGAGGTATTGCCAAGTGATTCAGGTTAGTATGCTGACATTGTTTACATTTAAAATATCTGTGCAAATGAAAAAGCAAAGTATCCTAACATCTGAGTTACCTACATCTTGTTAAATATACATTTGATAAGTCTGAGACAATCACATTGCTAAGAATTTCAGAGGGAAAATTAGTTTAACACATTTTCTGTCCATTAAGAAAAAAAGGCAGTATTGGCAGGCATAGACTGAGGTGGCACGTGCCTTCTGACCCTCTGTTCAATTATTTTGGAAACAATTGTTTTGTAAATGTTTCCCACTAATTCTTCCTAGGGTAAGGTGGCAACATAACTCAAGCATGAGTCTTTGACTATCTTGTAATGTAACCGTGTTTAAATTTATTCCAGGGGAGAACTTGACTCTTTTTAAAAGATGTTTAATGTGTTTGAAATATGTTGAAATTGAGACTGTGGTCCTGAGGATTCTTTGGTGTGGGGATATTGTGAACATATATAAAGTGTTTTGTACTTTCTCTTATTTCATGTATTGCATTTTAGTTTTTTTTAATTTGATTGTGAAATCAAATCTTGCCTTCAACTAAGTGTCAGCTACAGAATGCAGATATTATGCAACTGTCTGTCTGCATTATATTCTGATTTACTTAGGAAGAATTGAGTGATCCTGTTACATGTTTTATAATGTCAAAGCATTTAGACAGTCCATGGCCCTACCACCCTGAACACACCTGATCTCATCTGATCTCCAAAGCATTTAAACATGCTAATCTTGTCAGGATATACGGGGGTAGGGGCAGTAAGGATGAACTGACCACCTATTGAGTGACCATAGAAGTTATTATTTAGTTGATTTAATGCTAAGCTATTCTGTACTCTCTTGTCCAGTTTGCGTGTTAAACGATATCATATTCTGAGATTAATGATACAGAAACAGTTTTCATCTGTACACAATGAACTGGCCTGTATTGGGGTGAAATCTTTAAACACTTGATCTAACTAGCTTAGCCAGCTGACCAAGACTTAGAAATCTGTTTACAGTGATTTCATTCATGCCTTGGTGGCTTTGTTTATCTGGCATCACAAAAGCTGAAATCACTAATGTAAAACCTGTCTTCTGTTTAGAGGCTCCGGACCTAAAGCAAGAGGAGCGTCTGCAAGAACTGGAGAGCTGTTCTGGACTGGGCAGCACATCAGATGATACGGATGTCAGGGAGGTCAGTTCCCGCCCCAGCACACCAGGCCTCAGTGTTGTGTCGGGTATGTCTGTCTTGTTTTAAGGAATAGGGATTTGAAGGTGTCATCACTCCATCCCCTATTTGTAAGCATAAGAGACGTGTTTTATATAACAGCTGGTTGATTTCAAGGCGACAAAATTATTTCTGTGGCACTTTAAATCTTTGAGAACTTTAATGTAGCTTTGTAGAGCCTGTTGAAGTACTTGGCAAGTAGTTCCTCTGCAACTCTTTCTATTCTTCGTAGTCTCTACTACTGTATTTAACTATACATAATTCTGATTATGCTGTGTAAAGCAAGGTAAGCATGTTTTAGCAACATTGTGATAGATGTAATACTAAATAAGTCACATGTATAGAACTTAGACACGGAAAATTTGAGAATGTTTAAATTTCTTCAAACTTCATACACTTTTTATGTGGTTATTTTCTTCTTCTTGCTGTTTAGTTTTTTCCTGTTTGTTTTTTTTTGTTTGTTTGTTTTGTTTTTTAAGGCATAAGTGCAACCTCTGAAGATATTCCCAATAAGATTGAAGACCTGAGATCTGAATGCAGCTCTGATTTTGGGGGTAAAGATTCTGTCACTAGTCCAGACATGGATGAAATAACTCATGGTAAGAAGGGGAAATGAGAATGATTTTAAAATGATCGTATTTGGGGGCTGGCGCTGTGGTGTGATAGGCTAAGCCTCTGCCTGTGGCGCCGGTGCCAGTTTGTGCTCCTCTTCTGATCCAGCTCTCTGCTAATAGCCTGAGAAAGCAGTAAAAGATGACCCAAGAGTTTGGGCCCCTGCACCCAGATTTGCTCAGCTCCGGTCATTGCTCCATTTGGGGAGCAAACCAATGGATGGGAGACCTCTCTGTGTCTGTAACTCTGCCTCTCAAATAAATAAATAAAACCTTTAAAGAAAAAGATCATAATCATGATTAAAACTGGTACCGTTGAGCCGGCGCCGTGGCTCAATAGGCTAATCCTCCACCTTGCGGCGCCGGCACACCGGGTTCTAGTCCCGGTTGGGGCGCCGGATTCTGTCCCGGTTGCCCCTCTTCCAGGCCAGCTCTCTGCTATGGCCAGGGAGTGCAGTGGAGGATGGCCCAGGTGCTTGGGCCCTGCACCCCATGGGAGACCAGGAAAAGCACCTGGCTCCTGGCTCCTGCCAGGATCAGCGCGGTGCGCCGGCTGCAGCGGCGGCCATTGGAGGGTGAACCAACGGCAAAAGGAAGACCTTTCTCTCTCTGTCTCTCTCTCTCACTGTCCACTCTGCCTGTCAAAAAAAAAAAAAAAAAAAAAAAACTGGTACCGTTATACATTGCTGGTGATAATATCAATTGATATTTAGCATTTTGGGGCATAGTTTGTCATGTATATTTAAGGCATTACATTTCATATTCTAAATTGGATTGAGTTCCACTCCTAACAATCAGTGATAAGGAAATAATTCCATGTATGGAGAAAGTCTTAAGCACTTAGGTAGGTGTTCTTCATAACATTTTATTTTATTTTATTTTATTTTATTTTATTTTTTATTTATTTGACAGGTAGAGTTATAGACAGTGAGAGAGACAGAGAGAAAGGTCTTCCTTCTGTTGGTTCACTCCCCAAATGGCTACCACGGCCAGCGCTGCACCGATCTGAAGCCAGGAGCCAGGTGCTTCTTCCTGGTCTCCAATGGGGGTGCAGGGGCCCAAGTACCTGGGCCATCCTATCCTGCCTTCCTGGGCCACAGCAGAGGAGGAGCAACCGGGACTAGAACCTGGCACCCATACGCGATGCCGGCACGGCAGGCGGAGGATTAACCAAGTGAGCCACGGCGCCAGCCCCAGGATTTATACTATAGATAGAAAATGGGGGCCGGCGCCGCGGCTCACTAGGCTAATCCTCCGCCTAGCGGCGCCGGCACACCGGGTTCTAGTCCCGGTCGGGGCGCCGGATTCTGTCCCGGTTGCCCCTCTTCCAGGCCAGCCCTCTGCTGTGGCCAGGGAGTGCAGTGGAGGATGGCCCAGGTGCTTGGGCCCTGCACCCCATGGGAGACCAGGAAAAGCACCTGGCTCCTGGCTCCTGCCATCGGATCAGCGCGGTGCGCCGGCCGCAGCGCAAAGACCGCGGCGGCCATTGGAGGGTGAACCAACGGCAAAGGAAGACCTTTCTCTCTGTCTCTCTCTCTCACTGTCCACTCTGCCTGTCAAAAAAAAAAAAAAAAAAAAAAAAGAAAATGGGAAACAACTTAAGAACTAAAAAATGGAATGACTAAGTGATTTTCCTGTAACTGATTATAATTTATGCAAGTATTTTTTAATGCTTTTAAAATATGAAATAACTTGGAGAAATACTTAGAACATAATATTACATGGAAGATTTATTTTCTAGAATTTTATATACAAGACAATAAAAGATTAAAAACCATAAGCATAGGGAGAGATCTGGAAAGAAGTACCAAAATGCTAGTAGTGATTTTATAAGGGGAGTGGGTTCTGAGGAACCTTTTCTTTTTTTACATTTTTTTTCTGAACCAAGCTTTTTTTTCTTTTTTAAGCTTTGACACTATTGATATTTTGGGCCAGATAATTTTTTGTTGTGGGTCCTCCTGTGCATCCATCCTGTGCATTTTAGAATGGTTAGTAGCACCTCTGGCCTTGACCAGTAGTGCATGCCCCCACCTCCCTGAAGCTGTTTCAATCAAAAATGTGTCCAGACATTGCCAAACAATTCCTTGTGAGGAAGGAGAGCTGCCAGTTGAGAACCACTGTTCTACACCTGCAGTCTTTTTTTTTTCTTTTTAAAGTTTTTTTTTTTTTTTTTTTTTTTTTTTTTTAATTTTTGACAGGCAGAGTGGACAGTGAGAGAGAGAGACAGAGAGAGAAAGGTCTTCCTTTGCCGTTGGTTCACCCTCCAATGGCCGCCGCTGCAGCCGGCGCACCGTGCTGATCCGATGGCAGGAGCCAGGATCCAGGTGCTTTTCCTGGTCTCCCATGGGGTGCAGGGCCCAAGCACCTGGGCCATCCTCCACTGCACTCCCTGGCCATAGCAGAGAGCTGGCCTGGAAGAGGGGCAACCGGGACAGAATCCGGCGCCCCAACCGGGACTAGAACCCGGTGTGCCGGCGCCGCAAGGTGGAGGATTAGCCTAGTGAGCCACGGCGCCGGCCCTAAAGATTTTATTTATTTATTTTTTGAGAGGCAAAGTGACAGAGGGAGAGACAGAGAGAGAGGTCTTCCATCCACTGGTTTACTCCTCAAATGGCTACAACGGCTGGAGCTGGGCAGATTCGAAGCCAGGAGCTTCTTCTCAGTCTCCCAGATGGGTGCGGGGGCCCAAGCTCTTGGGCCATCTTCCATTGCTTTCCCAGGCTGTTAGCAGGGAGCTGAATCAGAAGTGGAGCAGTCAGGACTTGAGCTCACACCCATAAGGGATGCTGGTGCTACTACTACATCTTGAAGTGTGGTCTCCATGGACCTATGAGGATCCTTAAGACCCTTTTGGGGTGGGGGAATACAAGGTCAAAACTGCTTTCATTAGTAATATGGAGGGCATTGTCCTTTCTCACTGTGTTGACATTTGCACTTATGATGCATAAAGAAAGATAGGTAAAACTTGCTGGGGCCTTAGACTGAAGCAGGGGCACCGAACTGTACTATGAGTTGTTGCATTCTTTCACAACAGCACTGTGGCATAGTGAGGTAGAGTCACCACCTGCTCTGGCAGCATTCTATATGGGTGCCAGTTCGAGTCCTGGCTGCTCTACTTCTGATCCAGCTCTCTGCTGATGGCCTGGGAAAGCAGCAGAAGATGGCCCAAGTCCTTGGGCCCCTGCACCCACGTGGGAGACCTGAAAGAAGCTCCTGGCTCCTGACTTCAGATCGGTCCAGCTCCAGCCGTTACAGCCATGTAGGGAGTAAACCAGTGAATGGAAAACCTCTCTCTCTTTCTCTCTGCCTCTCTCTAACAATACCTTTTGAATAAGTAAATTTTTTTAAAAAAAGTTTTACTCGGGGCCGTTGCTGTGGCTCACTTGGTTAATCCTCCGCCTGCAGCACCGGCATCCCATATGGGCATCGGGTTCTAGTCCCGGTTGCTCCTCTTCCAGTCCAGCTCTCTGCTGTGGCCCAGGAAGGCAGTGAAGGATGGCCCAAGTACTTGGGCTCCTGCACCCGCATGGGAGACCAGGACGAAGCACCTGGCTCCTGGCTTCAGATCGGCACAGCATTGGCCATGGCGGCCATTTGGGGAGTGAACCAACGTAAGGAAGACCTTTCTCTCTGTCTCTCTTTCTCTCTCACTGTCTAACGCTATCTGTTTAAAAAAAAAAAAAAAAGTTTTACTTATGATTGTCTTTGATGAAACAATGAAAATTATTTTTTTATATCTCAACCCTTGAGTACACATAGTTTTAGTATTCTGTGTAAAGAGATAGGAAGTAGGGGCCAGTGCTGTGGTGCAGTAGGTTAATCTTCCACCTGCAGTGCCGGCATTCCATATGGGCGCAAACTCTAGTCCTGGCTGCTCCTCTTCCAATCCAGCTCTCTGCTATGGCCTGGGAAAGCAGTAGAGGATGGCCCAAGTGCTTGGACCCCTGCACCCACATGGGAGACCCAGAAGAAAACTCCTGGCTTTAGATCGGCACAGCTCTGTCTGTTGTGACCATTTGAGGAGTGAAGCAGTGGATGGAAGACGTTTCTCTGTTTTTCCCTCTCACTGTAAATCTACCTCTCAAATGAAGAAAACATTAAAAAAAAAAAAAAAAAAAAGAAAGAAAAAGAAATAGGAATTATCCCTGATGGATTGTTGATACTCTGAGATAGGATGAGAGGTCTTGAGGAAAAACATGTGAGTGATTATGTTTTGTTTTTTTGTTTTTTTGTTTTGTTTTGTTTTTGTTTTTGTTTTTGTTTTTTTGACAGGCAGAGTGGATAGTGAGAGAGAGAGACAGAGAGAAAGGTCTTCCTTTGCCATTGGTTCACCCTCCAATGGCTGCCATGGCCGGCGCACTGCGGCCGGCGCACCCCACTGATCCGAAGGCAGGAGCCAGGTACTTATCCTGGTCTCCCATGGGGTGCAGGGCCCAAGCACTTGGACCATCCTCCACTGCACTCCCTGGCCACAGCAGAGAGCTGGACTGGAAGAGGGGCAACCGGGACAGAATCCGGCGCCCCGACCAGGACTAGAACCCCGTGTGCCGGCGTCTCTAGGTGGAGGATTAGCCTATTGAGCTGCGGCGCTGGCTAGTGATTATGTTTTTAGCCTAACTAGAGAGTTTTTTTTTTTTTTTCATTTGTTTACTTTTTTTTTAATATAATTTTTACTTGAATGACTGACAAACTGTGGTTTGAATGAAAATATATTTGGGAATTTGACAGTTATTGAAAATCAGCTGAATGGGAGACCAGGAGAAGTACCTGGCTCCTGCCTTCGGATCAGCGCGGTGGGCCAGCCGAGGCGGCCATTGGAGGGGGAACCAACAGCAAAAGGAAGACCTTTCTCTCTGTCTCTCTCTCTCACTGTCCACTCTGCCTGTCAAAGATAAAATAAAAAAATAAAAATAAAAATAAATCAGCTGAGTCTGACACTTTTGATAATTTGTGCTTGTTGTTTCAGCTGAGTCTGATACAAATTGGTAATTTGTGCCAATGATAATCTTTCAGATAGAAACTAGAATTTGGGATGCTTTCACCCACCTCTGAGCTTGACAGCTTCCTATTTGTTTTTTTAAAGATTTATTTATTTATTTTTTTTTGAATCTTTTTTTTTTTTTTTTTTTTTTTTGACAGGCAGAGTGGACAGTGAGAGAGAGAGACAGAGAGAAAGGTCTTCTTTTTGCCGCTGGTTCACCCTCCAATGGCCGCCGCTGCAGCCGGCGCACCGCGCTGATCCTGGCAGGAGCCAGGAGCCAGGTGCTTTTCCTGGTCTCCCATGGGGTGCAGGGCCCAAGCACCTGGGCCATCCTCCACTGCACTCCCTGGCCATAGCAGAGAGCTGGCCTGGAAGAGGGGCAACCGGGACAGAATCCGGCGCCCCAACCGGGACTAGAACCCGGTGTGCCGGCGCCGCAAGGTGGAGGATTAGCCTATTGAGCCACGGCGCCAGCTAGATTTATTTATTTATTTTTAAAGTTACAGAAAGAGAGGGAGGGACAGAGAGAGATTTTCCATTCACTGGTCTACTCCCCAAATGACCACTACAGCCAGGGCTGGGCCAGGCCAAAGCCAGAAGCCAAGAGCTTCTTCTAGGTCTCCCATGTGGGTGCAGGGGCCCAGGGACTTTATCCTCCATTGCTTTCCCAGGCATATTAGCAGAGAGTTAGCTCTGAAGTGGAATTAGCTGGGACTTATACCAGAACACATGGAATGCTGGTGTTTCAGGTGGGGGCTTAACCCACTGTGCCTCAGTGCCAGGCCCCCAAGCAGCATCTTAACTGCTGTGTCAAATGCCTGCTCCCTAAGCATTTCCTAGTGACATAACTATTAACTAGAGCGGAAAAGGAAAAATCAAAAAGCATAATAATTGTTTAGTATAAAAATATAGCTTCAGGCTAAGAAATTTTGTTACCAGTTTCTTTTTTATATTTGAAAGTTTTAGCCTCTGCAAAATCATCTATTTTAATATTTCTGTCTTTGATATTTTATCTTTTTTTCTTTTATTTTTTTTAAAGACTTATTTATTTATTTGAAAGTCAGAGTTACACACAAAGAGAAGGAGAGGCAGAGAGAGAGAGAGAGAGAGAGAGAGGTCTTCCATCCACTGGTTCATTCCTCAACTGGTCGCAATGGCCGGACCTGCATCAGTCCGAAGCCAGGAGCCAGCCAGGACTAGAACCGGCGTCCATATGGGATGCAGGCACTGCAGGCGGCGGCTTTACCTGCTATGCTACAGCGCCGGCCCCTGTCTTTGATATTTTAGACATAGGCTTAGAGGAATCATTTTGCTCTAACTTAAAATTGTACACTTTAAAAGTTTCATAATGTAATGTAATATTCATTTTTCTAACTTTTTTTTTAAATCTTCTGAGGGTACTATTAGAATTTAATTTTTTTCAGAGATTGTGTTTTTTAAAGGTTTATTTACTTATTTGAAAGAGTTACAGATAGGCAGAGGCAGAGAGAGAGGGGGAGAGAGATTTCTTTACCCACTGGTTTACTTTTTCTTTTCTTTTTTTTTGTTGTTGTTGTTGTTGTTGTTGTTGTTGTTGACAGGAAGAGTGGACAGTGAGAGAGAGAGACAGAGAGAAAGGTCTTCCTTTGCCGTTGGTTTACCCTCCAATGGCTGCCGCGGCTGGCGCGCTGCGGCCGGCGCACCACGCTGATCCGATGGCAGGAGCCAGGTGCTTCTCCTGGTCTCCCATGGGGTGCAAGACCCAAGCTCTTAGGCCATCCTCCACTGCACTCCCTGGCCACAGCAGAGAGCTGGCCTGGAAGAGGGGCAACCGGGACAGAATCCGGCGCCCTGACCGGGACTAGAACCCAGTGTGCCGGTGCCCCTAGGTGGAGGATTAGCCTAGTGAGCCACGGCGCTGGCCATACCCACTGGTTTACTACCCAGATGGCCTCAACAGCTAAGGCTGGGCCAGGCCGTACCCAGGAGCGAGGCATTCCATCTAGGTCTCCACATGGGCAGCAGGGTCCCAGGCAAATCTGGCCATCTTCTGCTGCTTTCCCAGACACATCAGAGAGCTGGATTGGAAAAGCACCTAGGAAAAGCAGCGAGGCACTCATATGGGATGCCAGATGCCAGCCCCGTAGGTGGTGGCTTACACTGTGTTACAGCACCAGCCCCCAAATTTAAAACTTTATAACCGTTTTATTTACACCCCTTCTATAGATAATATTGCCCTTATTTTTGTATGTGGTAGGAAGGTAATGCCCAGGGAAGCCCTGACATTCTCAAAAATTTGATGGTTTAGATCTTCTGGTCCTGTGCCTCTGCAGTAACCGTTATGTTTGCCCGTTAATAGTAATTGATGTGTGTGTGCTAGACCCTTTAGTGTAATGAAAATCCATGCATGAAGACAAAACTGTAAAATGAATTTCAAATGATCAGAATATAACATTTATTAGTTGTATTTTTTTCTGTATGCCCTGAAGTTCTAACTGATCAAAAAAGGAAAATAAAGAACCCTGGAACCCCTTTCACTGTGTTAACCCTCTGACTGACTGAATTCTGCTTGGTCTCACAGTCTGCCCTCCTGTTGCAGGCGCCCACCAGCTGACCTCCCCTCCTTCTCAGTCAGAGTCTCTGCTTGCCATGTTTGATCCACTGTCTTCACATGAAGGTAAACTAGTGAAATGAACTTTGTGATTCTTGTTACAGACAGAAGAAAGAAATTAAAACCCTTTATCCTTTATGCATTCGTCAGATTTGTTTTCTCAGTTGCAAATTTATTTCTAAGAATTTTTTTGCTGTGTTGCAGGAGCTTCTGCTGTGGTAAGGCCAAAGGTTCACTATGCCAGGCCATCACATCCACCACCAGATCCCCCAATCCTGGAAGGAGCTGTGGGAGGAAATGAGGCCAGACTGCCCAACTTTGGTTCCCATGTTTTAACTCCTGCTGAAATGGAAGCATTCAAGCAGAGGCATTCTTACCCTGAGAGATTAGTCCGCAGTAGGAGCTCAGATATAGTGTCTTCCGTCCGGCGACCCATGAGTGACCCCAGCTGGAACCGCCGTCCGGGGACTGAGGAGCGAGAACTCCCTCCAGCTGCAGCCGTTGGTGCTACTTCTTTGGTGGCTGCACCTCACTCATCATCTTCATCTCCGAGTAAAGACTCCTCAAGAGGAGAGGTATGAGACGCAGGCCATGTGGCGTTCGCTTGTTGTGGTCACCTTCAGTGTTGTATCTGCCTGGGTCTCTTGATACCTTAAGTGAATATGAACTAGGTAGATTAAGAGTGAGGATGGAGTACAGTCCTTCTTTGAGATGATTTGTCAGTCTGCTGTTCCCAGGACCATAGCCCATTGGAAACCTAGGCCACTTTGATTGTGTGGTAATACTGTCTTATATTTTTTGGACATTTTTCTCCAAACAGTTTTAAATATAATTTCATTAAAACCTTACAGTACCCCTCTGAGATGATGCTAGATGTGTTTTTATGTTTTATTTTGAATCAAGCATAGAGTTAGAAAAAAGTTGAAAATACTCCTATGATAAAAGAGCGTTTTCCCACAGTTTCAGAGTAAGCTGCCAGCTTGAGGCTGCACCCTCTCTGAATACTGAGTTTCCTACAAACAGGCACCTTTCCTGCATGTCCTGTATGGCCTTCAGTGTTAGGCAGTAAGCACTGAGTTACTGCTGATTCTCACATCACATGTCAGAGTCCCCACTTGTCCCTCTGACATTCTCTGTAGTAAAAGAATTTCGTTCATAATTGCATGTTGTTTTTAGTTGTCATGTTTTCTCTTCTAGTCTTGAACAGTTTATCTTTCCTTAACTTTCATGATCTTGTAAAACTGTAGGCCAGTTCTTTCCGAGACTCCTTTATTTGGGGTTTGTTTGCTCTTTCTCACGATGAGATTCAGGTTATTCACCTTTGGCAGGAACATGACTGACATGACACTGTAACCTTTTCATTGTATCCTCTCACATAGCTTACAGTATTTTTAAAAAAGATTTATTTTTTGTATTTGAGAGAGTTATAGAGAGAGGCAGTGACAGAGAGAGTGGTCTTCCATCTGCTGGTTCACTCTCCAAATGGCCACAATGGCTGGAGCTGAGCCGATTTGAAGTTAGGAGCCAGGAGCTGCTTCTGGGTCTCCCACATGTTGGGCCATCTTCTACTGCTCTCCCAGGCCATAGCAGAGAGCTGGATTGGAAGAGGAGCAGCCAGGACTAGAACCGGCACCCAAATGGGATGCTGGCGCTTCAGACCATGGCTTTAACCCACTGTGCCATAACACCAGCCCCATAGCATACAGTATTAATTTCTTGCATTACTATGGTGTTGCATTCAGATCTTTTGATGAAGGATCCTTTGTCTGCGAGACATCCCCACTGTAAAGTACTCCTTTTCCCTGTGTAACTAGTAAGTATTTTGTGCAAAAGTACTCTGAGAATATGTAACTATCCCGTGCATCAATTTTTTAAATGTATTTTTAATTACATTTGGTTTTCTTTTTTAGTCCCTGGCTTGTTACTATCAAATATTTTGATGTTCGATGGTCCCTGATGTGGCCAGTGGGAGCCCCTTCGCGTTCACTGCTTGGTTCTTGTGACATGCCTCTATCATTCTTTGAATATTGCTTTCCAACACAAAATGTTACAAGCTTACGTTGTACTTCATCTGCCCTACTCCTGGAATCAGCCATTTATCCAAGTAACCCTGGTTTCTTTCAGTGAAAAAAATGGGTTTTAAATATTGAGATCTCAATACAGTACTCATTGCTGTCAGTGTGTGGCTGCTCTCAGAACTTCTTTGTGGACAGAGCTAGGGAGTGTTTGTGTGTGTACACATTTACCTGTGTATTTCTGTATCCTTCTCTGTGTGGAGAGAACTGTGAGCTCACACAGACACATTCGGTTTTAATCTGGAAACAGCAGGCTTTGTTTCATCTTTTCCCTTTCCATATTTGTTAACTCCTTTCCCCAACGGTGAGAAACCTGCTTTCATTATTGTTCACATCATCATGTGATCAGTGCCCCTTACGTAATCAATTTCACATCCCCATTACTAACTTTTCCTTAGCACAGATGCCTTCATCTCCCCACTTGGGTTCTGATCCCCTATTCACAGGGATCCCCAGAGAGAAGGTATTTTTAGTCCCAATTTTGTAGATTTAAAAATAGAAATTAGGTGATTTGTACACAGTCACATGATCGGCTAGTAAAGGAGTCATGGCTCCTGCTCTTTACCCTGTGGTCTCGATGACAATGTGGCTATATTGGTACTCAAAACATGAGCTTTGTAGTTTGTCAAATCTCGGTCTCAGCTATGCCACAAACAGGTTGTGTAACTTTGGGGAAGGTAGGAGGATAACCTTTTTTGGTCTCATATTTTGCATCTATAAAAAGAGGTTGGGGCCAGTGCTGTGGTGCAGTGGGTTAATCCTCCGCCTGCGGCGCTTGGCATCTCACATGGGCACCGGTTCTAGTCCTGGCTGCTCCTCTTCCAATCCAGCTCTCTGCTATGGCATGGGAAAGCAGTAGAGGATGGCCCAAATCCTTGGGCCCCTGCACCCACGTGGGAGACCTGGAAGAAGCTCCTGGCTCTTGGCTTCAGATTGGTGCAGCTCCAGCCATTGTGGCCATTTGGGGAGTGAACCAATGGAAAGGGCTTTCTTTCTGTTTCTCCCTCTCACTGACTATAACCCTACCTCTCATAGTACATCTTTTTTTTTTTTTTTTTTTTTTTTTTCAAAAAAAGGACAGTTTTTTTAACAGACATTTAAATGATAGCTTTTTTTTTTAACGGCACATAGTACATCTTTTATTATTTTATTATTATGCATACTACTGCTACTTCATTGCTACTTCTCTAGAGTTTGTTTGCACTGCATTTACTTACTCCATATGTATTTTCTGAGTGCTTATCTATGCTGGGCTCTCTACAGTTCATTAATAGTAATAAGACAGTACCTGCTGTCAAACCCTCAAGCAGATCAAGTCTGGTTCTTGAAAGGTGTATTTCCATGTTCTAGAATTGCTTCCATGGTAGTAAGAACAGTTTTGCTTCTAGGCAAATAAGACTGTTTTTTGTATTTCACAGATGTACCAAAATCTTTTTCATAGTAATTTATTCTGCTGCCCAACTCCAAATAAAGCTTCTAACTTTTTCCACAGACTGAAGAACGCAAAGATAGTGATGATGAGAAATCAGACAGGAACAGACCTTGGTGGAGAAAACGTTTTGTTTCAGCTATGCCTAAAGGTAATTTTACAAAATATTAAAGTGCTGTGTTAACTACAGGAAGCAAAGTTCCCAAAATCTCTTTGAGAGAGAGCCCATGTCTCAACACTCTGTAAGGCTTGCTGGGCGTAAGCTTCTAGTTGTTTTGAGGGTATAGAAAATGGTTTCACTGTGATGAATGCTAGGGCAGAGCTTTAGAAATGTTCTTGAGAGGGGGCACAGTTTTATAAATGGAAGTGGCTGCTAGGTGGTGGTAACTTCATATGCTATTGAAGCTAAACAGAGGACTTTGACATAGGAATTGCTATTATTTTTGTGGAAGATGGGATGTAATTTGTAATTATAACATTGAAAATTCATCCTTTACATTCTTATTGTAAATTTAAGCTCTTTATGTGTGTTCATTGAGAATGCTTATACCCTGAATATTAGTGAATGTTTACTTTGGAAGGTGGTGTATAAAATTATTTGCTTTTTTGGTAAGTAGCCTGGCGTCATTTGATTGACAGAAGCCTCTCTTCCTGAAGGAGAGCTCATCCAGGAGTGAAGCTGGGCTGCTTCCGCTGGCCTCTCCCAGGAGCTCCCGAGAGATGCTCCAGGAAACGAGCCTAGGAGTCTTGAACGTGCTGTTCATGAGCATAGATCGAAGCATTCGATTTAGTCCCATTGGATTCCTATTAAATCATTCTTGCTATGGCCACTGACTCCAAAGCAGATTCTGAAAGTTTCTTTAAGAACCTTCAATGCTATTTTGAGAACAATTATTGGTCAGCACTTAGAATTTCTTAGCTTTTAAACTTTTCATCCTCCTTTCACTTAGAAATGTTGGCACACCCAGTAACTTCCAAGTAGTGCAGTATGTTATATGTCACACTACTGACTTTATTTAATTTCCAGCTCCTATACCATTTAGAAAGAAAGAAAAACAAGAAAAAGACAAAGATGATCTGGGGCCTGACAGATTCTCAACACTCACAGGTTTGTAGACCCATGGACTTCCTGGCTCCTTCATTCCCAGAGCACATATTTCATAACACTTTTTATTGGGTGCCATAAGCGTTGCCATTTTAGAAGGGTGTGTCTGTGTGTGTACAGTGGGGAGTGTGTTCTTCGTAGCTCTGTGGTTTCCAGTGGGTGGCCACAGTGAATCCCAGTGTGCCCTTCCCGCAGACTGCCACCACCATCATCATCCTCATTGTCATAACTTTGTTTACCATGAGGCCCCGATCCTGAGCCTCTCTCTAGGCCCACACTACAGCTCGCCATCTAGTGGGATGATGGCAGAGTGCCTTCTAGGAAAGTGTGGTGATGGTTTTAGTGATACGCATGCTGCATCTTTGGATCATTGATTGAGTCGTTTTCCCTAACATTGATCATTGAATTCGAAATTTATTTCTATCTGTAGTTTGATCTGGTTTATTCAGGATCACAGTGGAATTCTATTTTATCTAATCATTTTTTGTGTGTGATAAATTACTTATTTAAATAGTATCATAAATGCCAGGACAAGTGTTTTGGCACAGCAGTTCGAATGCCATGTGGGGTTCCTGTATCCCATTTCGGAGTGCCTGGGTTCCAGTCCCAGCTCCACTTCTGTTCCAGCTTCTTGCCAGTACACACTCTGGGAGGCATCTCAAGTAGTTAGGTTCCTGCCACTCGTGTGGGAAACCCAGATTGAGTTCCAGGCTCCTGGTTCAGTCTGGGCTAGCCCTGGTCTATTTCAGGCATTTGGAGAGAGAACCAGCAGATGGAAGCTCTCCTCCCCCTACCCCATAAATACATGAATATTAAAAAAAAAACCAGTCACTATAACAAAAGTATTTTAAAATTTTACTTTTTTTTTCTTTTATAGCTTCAACCACTTTAACATTTTATCTGAACCAAGGAAAACACAACTTGGGATTAGTCTCTAACCTTACTCAGCTTTTGTATTTCTGAGTTCTTTTTGGCACATCAGAAATGAGCTTCCCCAAAGGAAAGAGTTTGAGAAGTAGTGTTAATGACTCAACCTAGAGTTTGATAACCGTAGATTATTTCCGGTGGCTATAGAGCATCTAGAGGGAATTTCATTTCTCACCTCTTTTCTTCTCTTGATTTTAAATGATGTTATCCTACTAATTAAAATGAAGATTTTTGTTGTTATTTAAAAAAAAAAAGCGGTATAGTGCCAGTAAAATCCCATTTAATGCATGTTGCCTAATACCTACTCTGTATATTTACGTATGTCTCTATGTCCTTGCATATACCTTCCTGCTCTGTCTGATAGTGTAACTTGCCTGGAATAGTGGTTCTGAACACCAGCAAGTGTGCCTACAAGCCAGGGTTCCCTGCTGAGGGCAGCCAAGCCTGTCTTAACCAATTAACAAATAGCTTGTTGGCCATCTGACTCATGCCAGTCACTGTGCTAAGTGTGGTGGATATTATGCTAAATCCCACATGACATCAGTTCATCAGGGCCTTCCAGTTTGATTGGAAAGATTTGGGAAGACATTGTCCTTTTGGAAAATAATTTATGTATCCTTACTATGTTCATGTGTTCAGAACACCAAGGTTTACAATGGATTACTCTTTTTTTTTTTTTTTTAAGATTTATTTATTTGAAAGGCAAAATAACAGAGAGTGAGAGAGAAAGCAGTCTTGCATCCATCGGTTCACTCCCCAAATAACTGCAGTGGCTGGTGCTGGACCAGGCCCAAGCTAAGAGCCTAGAACTCCATCCAGGTCTCCTGTGTAGTGGCAGGGGTTCAGCTACCTGGGTCATCCTCCACTGCCTTTCCAGGCACATTAGCAGGAAGCTGGATTGGAGCTGAACAGCTCGGTCTTCAGCTGGCACTCTGCCTGGGATGCCAGTGTCTCAAGCAGCAGCTTAACCCCGTGCACCGCAACTCTGGCCCCTACACTGGATTACTCTTAATGCAACCTCATGTTTTAAAAATGTTGAATAGGAGCTGGCGCTGGGGCATAGCAGGTAAAGCTGCCGTCCGCAGTGCTGGTATTCCATATGTGTGCCGGTTCGAGTGCCGGCTGCTCCACTACTGATCCAGCTCTCTGCTGTGGCTTGGGAAAGCAGTAGAAGATGGCCCAAGTCTTTGGGCCCCTGCAACCACATGGGGAAAACCCGGAAGAAGCTCCTGGCTCCTGACTTCAAATTGGCACAGCTCCAGCCGTTGTGGCCAATTGGGGAGTGAACCAGTGGATGGAAGATCCCTCTCTCTCTTTCTGCCTCTCCTTCTCTCTCTGTGTAACTCTTTCAAATAAAAAAAAAATTTTAAAAAATGTTGAATTAGGCCGGCGCCACGGCTCACTAGGCTAATCCTCCGCCTAGCGGCGCCGGCACACCGAGTTCTAGTCCCGGTTGGGGCGCCGGATTCTGTCCCGGTGGCCCCTCTTCCAGGCCAGCCCTCTGCTGTGGCCAGGGAGTGCAGTGGAGGATGGCCCAGGTGCTTGGGCCCTGCACCCCATGGGAGACCAGGAAAAGCACCTGGCTCCTGGCTCCTGCCATCGGATCAGCGCGGTGCGCCGGCCGCAGCGCGCCGGCCGCAGCGGCCATTGGAGGGTGAACCAACGGCAAAAGGAAGACCTTTCTCTCTGTTTCTCTCTCACTGTCCACTCTGCCTGTCAAAAAAAAAAATGTTAAATTAATAACTTCAGAGAAGTTGCAAATTATTTTTTTAAAGATTTATTTATTTGAAAGGTAGAGTTAGAGAGAAGAGACAGAGAGAGGTATCGTCCATCCTCTGGTTCATTCCTCTGATGACTACAATGGCTAGGGTTAGGCCAGGCCAAAGCCAGGAGCCAGGAGTTCCACCTGGGTTCCCAATGTGGGTGGCAGGGACCCAAACACCTGGGCCATCCTCCACTGCTTTTCCCAGGCCACCAGCAAGGAGCTGGATTGGAAGTGGAGCATCCATAAATTTAATTGGCACCCATATGGGATGCTGGCACTGCAAGCAGTGGCCTCAACCACTACACCACAGTGCCAGCCTCTAAATTTTTTTTTTTTTACACCATCTTTGGGCTACATATTTTTTTTTGTTCTTGTTGCTTGGAATAGAAGCTAAAGAGTAATTTTTTTCATAAAGAATACTGTTTTTGGGTGTGAGTTAAGCAATTTAGCTTCCCTATTAGTACAAATAATTTTCCTATCACTCATTGAAAAGTTATCATTAATTGCTTCTCAGACTTTTGGCTAAGATCAAGTGTGAAAAGTTGTCATTAAATCAGTTTTCAACTGTTTTGAAAGAAAATTTCTGGAGCCAGCATGTGGTATAACATTTTAAGCTGCCTCTTGCAATGCCAGTATCGATATGGGCTCTAGTTCAAGTCCCAGCTGCCCCAGAACCTGCTAATGCACCTGGGAATGCAGCAGAAGATGGCCCAAGTGTTCGAGTTCCTGACAACCAACTGGGAGACTGGAAGAAGCCCTGGCTCCTGGCTTCAATCTGGCCCAGCGCTGGCCCTTGCAGCCATTTGGGGAGGGAACCAGTGGATGGAAGATCTTTTTCTGTGTCTCTCTAACTCTGCCTTTTGAATAAATAAATCTTTTTTAAAAAAAGAAAAAGAAAAGAAACTACCCATATTCCTGCTCTTCTCACCGCTGTGATTTTCCTGTTCTCTCCTAGTCTTTCTCAATATTTGTACATGGCTCTTTGAGGATTGAATTAGATTGTATATGTAATAGTTTATATTCTTTTCTTACCACATGTTAATTTATAAACTGCTCTCTCAATTTATACTTGACATAGTTGTTTTTTAAATCATTTTTAGTGGCTATAAAATAGTCATATGTTTCTGCTACACTATAAGCATTCTCTTGTTCTGTATTTAATTGTCCCCCATTTTTTACTATGAAAATAGTGCTCACATCCTTATAAGTGAACATTTTTTTAAGTTATTTATGGTTAAGAATTTTGAGAGTGGTGTTAATAGAAATAAAGGTTTATAAGGAACATTATGGCTGTCACTGTCGTTAGCTCAACTGTATAATCTTTTTCAGAACTTTCAACAGCATTCAAAAGTGGTTACTCAAAAATGTTCACCCTCCAAAACAGGATTCTATCATAATAAAGGTTTTTCTTTATTTATTTGAAGGTCAGAATTACAGAGGGGCAGAGGCAGAGAGAGAAAAAAGTCTTCCATCCACTGGCTCTCTCCTGAAATGGCCTTAATGGCTGGAGCTAAGCTGATACGAAGCCAAAAGCCAGGAGCTTCTTCCTGGTCTCCGGTCTTCCCTTGTGTGTCCAGAGGCCCAAGGATTTGGGCCATCTTCCACTGCTTTCCCAGGCCATAGCAGAGATCAGTAGTGGAGCAGCTGGGACTAGAACCGGTGCCCATGTGGGATGCCAGCACTGCAGGCGGCAGCTTAACCCACTATGCCACAGCACTAGCCCTTTGATAAAGGTTTTATCAGTTCACATTTTGAATTCAAATTGCATTATAGCAAAAATACTGATTTCTGTGGAAATCCTGTCTTCCTAATTACTACAGTTTTGTGGAGATATGATGCCTGAGAGCATGCTACATGCATTCTCTAGGTCTTGATTTCCTCTTCTGGAAATTGATAAAAGGAGCCCCTTGTTAACATTGTTTAATGTTAAATAGAAATAGTCCATGAAAGGTGCTTAGCACAGTTCCTGGCATGTGGTAAGTGCTCAATAAATGTTAGCTGCTATTAACACATGTGCACATATTTAATCTAGTGATTTTTTAAAAATGAGATTCTACCAGAATGTGGACATTTATGATTGCCTGTTGGCCTGGATGTGTGTCACCGTGGAACTTCATTTTGTCAGCAGATCTAACAGGTGCTGTATTCCAGCAGTAGTACTGTGATGCTGAGGTTTAGTGAGACAGAACATGAGGATGCACAGTTTTCAGGTGTGCTGGAGAGATTTGTGAAAGAAGAATGCAGAAAGATATTTTTGTTATTATTAAAAAATATTTATGTTTGAATAGTTCTTTTTTTCCTCCTTGAGCATAGAGCTGTCAATAAATGAAATCTACCTATAAAAAGTATTGTTGGAAATTCTATTAGTGTGAATTGCTCATGACAGTGATTCGAATGTAAGCACTTAAAAACTCATCATCCATCAGTCTGCACTGAATTCTGGTGATGATGAGAAAGTGGAGCTAACTGGTCTCTGTTTCCTGCTTTGGCAAGGCTCTCAGACCTAGAAGTGGGATGAGTAGGCAGCTGCATGGTGCCTCTTAGCATTGAGATATGTGCTCTTTTTAAGTCTTACCTCCTAATCTGCCTTTGGGATTATGCTAATGGTGTCCTACTAATGTCAGACTTGAACAAACTAAAGAACTAATCTTCTCACTGTCCTCTCCCCACAGATGATTCCAGCCCTAGATTAAGTGCACAAGCTCAGGTCGCCGAGGACATTTTGGACAAATACAGGAATGCCATTAAACGGACCAGCCCCAGTGAAGGAGCAATAGCGAACTATGAAAGTACAGGTAAGAATCATGATAGAGATTTGAACAGTAACTTTTAAATCACAGTGATAAAAGTAGTTTGAACTTAAGTAGCCTTTAAAAGAAGAGCAAGTGAAATCAGTTTATTATCTCAAAATTGCAGACTTGGTAACCAAACCAGATTAAATTGATGTCCCTCTCCCAATAAGCCTGGGTATCCCCATATGCTTATATGTGTTAGACTTGTTACCCCATGAGGTTTTTTTTTTCTTTTCTTTTTTTTTTTTTTTTTTTTTTTTTTTTTTGACAGGCAGAGTGGACAGTGAGAGAGAGAGACAGAGAGAAAGGTCTTCCTTTTGCCGTTGGTTCACTCTCCAATGGCCGCCACAGCTGGCACGCTGTGGCCAGTGCACCGCGCTGATCCGATGGCAGGAGCCAGGTGCTTCTCCTGGTCTCCCATGGGGTGCAGGGCCCAAGCACTTGGGCCATCCTCCACTGCACTCCCGGGCCACAGCAGAGAGCTGGCCTGGAAGAGGAGCAACCGGGACAGAATCCAGCGCCCCGACCGGGACTAGAACCCAGGGTGCCGGCGCTGCTAGGTGGAGGATTAACCTATTGAGCCGCGGCGCCGGCCATCCCATGAGTTTTGGGTGAATGGTTCAGAGGGAATTAGGGCATGCTTTTTAAACTGTGTAGAACTGTACTTTTATCTAGTTGTACAGCTGAGTTTAGCCTGGGAGACTATTTTTTTAAAGATTTATTTAATTATTTTGAGAGGCAGAGTTACAGAGAGGCAGAGGCAGAGAGAGAAAGAGAAGTCTTCCATCTGCTGGTTTACTCCCCAGATGGCTGCAATAGCCAGAGCTGAGATGATCTGAAGCCAGGAGCCAGGAGCTTCTTCTGGGTCTTCCATGCAGGTGCAGGGGCCCAAGGACTTGGGCCATCTTTTACTGCTTTCCCAGGCCATAACAGAGAGCTGGATTGGAAGTGGAGCAGCTGGGACTCAAACCAGTGCCCATATGGGATGCTGGCACTGCAGGGGGCAGCTTTACCTGCTATGCCACAGTGTCAGCCCCACCTGGGAGACCTTCAGGATAGTTATCCATTGTTGCTTAGTACATATTTTTTAAACGATTCTCTTTTCCTCGTAGTGGAATTCTCAGTAGGTGTCAGAAAAATAATGATATAGCCCCTAAGATAAATTAAGCAGAAACCAAAGTAGATAAAAGCATACCTAGTATACTGTGTGTATTTATGCCTGTATGTGCATAGAGTATCTTCTGGGAGAATCTCCAGCAAACTGGTAACACAAGTTGGGTTTTTTTAGAGGTTCTGGGTGATGGTGAAAGTGCACATGATTCTCCTCGGGATGAAACGCTACAGAACATCTCTGCCGACGATCTCCCTGACTCCGCCAGCCAAGCAGCCCACCCTCAGGAGTCTGCTTTTTCTTATAGGTATTTCTTTCATGGGGTGTTCAAACTTTTGGGTTTAAACTTTGCCATCACCATCGCTATAGGGAAAAGAATACTCATTTCAGATGATTGTTTGAGTCACTTAATAAATGTCTAAAGTAGAGACATAAGAAAGAGATGCTATTAACTAGGAAGACTGTTTTAGTTGTGGATGCCATGTATAAAAATCTCTACTTCATGTATTTTTTTCTTAAAAGATTTACTTATTTATTTTAAAGGCAGAGTTAGAGGAGGAGGCAGAGAGAAAGGTCTTCCATCCACTGGTTTGCTTGCCACATGGCCACAACAGCTGGAGCTGGGCCAATCCAAAGCCAGGAGCCTGGAGCTTCTTCTGTCTCCCACGTGGGCGCGGGGCCCCAAGGACTTGGGCCATCTTCTACCGCTTTCACAGGCCATAGCAGAGAGCTGGATTGGAAGTGGAGCAGCTGGGACTCAACCCGGCACCCATTTGGGATGCCGGCACTGCAGGCGGCCACTTTACTTACTACGTCACTGCTCTGGCCCCTCTTCACATATTTTTAAAAAACTCATATGCTCAAAGGAGCCACAGAAGCAATTTAAATTAAATAGATTGCAGGGCCCCTGCCCAAGTAGTGCTGCCGGCCTGGGCGAGAAATACTGGGAGAGAACAGAGGCAGTTCAGAAGTGGGGTCAGCTGCAGGTTTGCAATAACCCACTGTCTCCTGCTGGGGCCCTTTCATTTGTCATCATGCTTGTTCCTGGGAAGATTTCTCTTTTTCTGTTTAAAACTTTATTTATTTGAAAAGCAGAATGACAGGAGAGAGGCAGAGACAGAGACAGGTCTTCCATTCTTCAGTTCATTCTCCCAGTGCCTGCAATAGCCAGACTAAAATCAGGACCTCAGAACTTGATCCAGATCTCCCACATTGGAGGCAGGACCCAGTTGCTTGAGTCATGACCTATAGCTCCTCAGGCACATAAGCAGGAAGCTGGAGTCAGGACCAGAGATGGGATGAGAACCCAGGTACTTCCGTATGGGTTGTAACATCCCAAGTAGCTTTTGACCAAATGCCCGCCCTGGGTCTAATGGGGCTTGAGAAGGTTAACGACTTCAGGATCCTAAAGATTTTGCCCTTGTTTGATAAACTCTGCTTGCTCAGACAAGGAGTAGCAATTTTAAAGCCCTGGTTATTTCTTGTGAACTTTGGAAATTCCCTCGCTTTTTCCCTTTAACTTTTTATTCTAGAAATTCTCAAACATGCGCAGGAGTGAAAGAATATAATGATACTCCTCTTACTTATATTACCTACTAATTTTATTACCTACTACTTATATTACCTGCTAATACATGGCCAATATTATTTCATATTTATACTCTCCTAATTATTTAAAATAAACTTTTTAAAAAATATATTTATTTGAAGGAGTCACAGAGAGAAGAGAAAGAGAGACAGAGAGATATGATCTTCTATCCTCTGATTCATTACCCAAATGGCCAAAACAGCCAGAGCTGCTGGGCTGGTCTGAAGCCAGTAGCCAGGAGCTTCTTCCAGGTCTGCCATATGGGTGCAGGGGCCCAAGCACTTGGAACATCCTCTGCTGCTTTCCCAGGCACATTAGCAGGGAGCTGGGTAGGAAGTGGAGCAGACAGGACTCAAATCGGTGCCCTCATGGGTCCCCTTATGGGATATGGCACTGTAGACAGCGCTTGATCTGCTGTGCCACAGTGCCACTCCTAAAATAGACTCAGTAGTGTATCATTTTGTTATAATTATTGTTTTTCCCTACAGTAAAATTGCACAGAGTTTTTTATTTTAAGCCTTTGCAAAGTGGGTGAAGGTTATAATTGATCAACTTGATTTCTACTCTGCTCATTTTACAGGAAGGGAACCAGTAGGGAACCATTAGGGAAAGAGAGTTTGTCAGAGGAAGTGGACTAGACACACTTGCAGAGAAGGAAGCCCTTGGCCTTCCTTTGGGGTATTTGGACTCCTCTCTTTGGAAGACAGTTTTGAACACTGAACCAGAGGAGAATAGACACTAGCAAATAGAAGCAGCTTGGTGGTGTCTCCCAGTCTGAAGTGCTGCCTGGTCAGGGGTGGAGCGACACCGTCATGCTGGTAGTGGGTCAGGAATTGGAAGCAGATTTTGGCCTGACACTAAAGGCTCAAGCAGTTGAGCATTGGAAAGGGCTTCTTGCCAGGCACAGAGCTTGTCTTGGGCAGGAGCAGCGTCTCAGAGATGTAGAAGGAAGGCAGCCGTGATTTCAGTGTTAGGGTTTTCATAAGCTCTGTGGCCCTCCCCTTCCCAGGCATAATGGGCTTTTCTGGTCTTCTCACGGTGCCTGTTGTAGCCCTTAGCACATGATGAGAGGTCACAAAGGATTTGTTGTTTGATTCTGCTGACGGCAGAGGGGGCCCTGCCCAGGGCACTGTTACTGCTGTTCTCTGTGGGCAGGTGGAGGGCTTCCTCTTTGAAGTGAGGTGTCAATAAGTAAAAATTATCCTTTTCAAATAACTATTTGAAGATTTGAGTCCTGAGGTAGCAAATTAATTTATGTAGTAATATTCATAAATGTGACTATACCTGGATAAAGAAATAATTGTATTTTCTACTCATTTTTTTTCAGAGATGCAAAAAAGAAACTGAGGCTTGCCCTTTGCTCTGCGGATTCCGTAGCCTTCCCAGTGCTGACGCATTCAACAAGGAATGGGTTACCAGACCATGCAGACCCCGAAGGCAAGCTGCGAAATCGTTTTCTTTCCCCCTATATTTGCCTATTGAACCTGTGAAATTGCTTGTATGCCACTGTTTAAACCATACAGCAGTTCTAGGTAGTTTAACAGTATTAGTGTCACTTAAGGGCACTTTGGGTACTGATGGTTTATTGAAGTAGTTTCCTATTGGGAGTGGCAGTATAGCTTCATTCAGTTGATACAGAGTAAAGTAAAACTGGGCATCTCAAATGCTAGCCGGTTACTACAGCCTTTGGAAACTCTCAGTAACAAAATTCTCATATTTTTTCTTTAGATAATGAAATTGTATGCTTCTTGAAAGTTCAAATAGCTGAAGCAATTAATTTGCAAGATAAGAACTTAATGGCCCAACTGCAAGAAACAATGCGTTGTGTGTGCCGCTTTGACAATAGGACGTGTAGAAAACTGCTGGCATCTATTGCTGAGGACTACCGGTAAGAAACCCAACCTTCGCAGCCTGGAGCTTACAGCCTCATTTTTAGCTACAAGTTTCTTTTCAGCTTTATTTCAGGAATAACTCCAGGCCTACCACAAAGTACTGAGCTGTGTTTACCGAGGCGCAGATTTGCAAGCAGCGCGTTTGGGTGGTCTGGAAATGCGGCTCTGGATGAGCAGCTCGCACTAGCAGAGAAGTGCAGCTCACTTTAGCTTTCCACAGAAGCAGATAAAGGAATGTCGTAGATTTTGAGCCCAGCATAGAAGTAGCGTGTCCTCTTCCTTCTTTTAAAAGGGTGGTGGGAAAGACTGCTTTTCTGAGCAGAGAGGCAGGAGTTGTCTGGGAAACGCCACCCTTCTCTGCCGCAGGCCCTGCAGTGTTCCAGAGATGGATGCCACTGGTTGTTAGAGAGGCCTAGGGACCAAGTGCCCCAATGGTCGGTACATTTAGACTATAAGTAAACAAACAGTGGGGATGACCTTGGGGAATATAACCTTACATTTTTGTTTTTTTAGTCTCTGACAGTCAGTTTCCTTGTAGGTATGAGGTCCTACCAGCATGAGACAGTGATCCTATTTAAAATAAACCAGTGTAAAAGAAAAATAAATAAAATAAGCCAATGTGCCAAAGACTTATTAAGATGTAGTGAGTTCAGTAGCTGAGTGTTCAGCCCAATGGATGATATTCTTCACAAACATGCAAAAATGGTTCTGTTTCCGGGCCGGCGCCGCGGCTCACTAGGCTAATCCTCCGCCTAGCGGCGCCGGCACACCGGGTTCTAGTCCCGGTCGGGGCGCTGGATTCTGTCCCAGTTGCCCCTCTTCCAGGCCAGCCCTCTGCTGTGGCCAGGGAGTGCAGTGGAGGATGGCCCAGGTGCTTGGGCCCTGCACCCCATGGGAGACCAGGAAAAGCACCTGGCTCCTGGCTCCTGCCATCGGATCAGCGCGGTGCGCCGGCCGCAGCGCGCCGGCCGCGGCGGCCATTGGAGGGTGAACCAACGGCAAAGGAAGACCTTTCTCTCTGTCTCTCTCTCTCACTGTCCACTCTGCCTGTCAAAAAAAAAAAAAAAAAAAAGGTTCTGTTTCCTTCTTTCTTCTGTTTCCTTGAAAGGCAGAAGAAGAGAGAGACAAGCTCTCGTCCACCGGTTCACTCCCTAGATGCTTACAATGGCCAGGGCTGCATCTGAGTGAAACTGGGAGACAGGAAGTCAATCCGGGTCTCCCATGCGGATGGCAGAGATCCACCCAACTACATGAACATCATCTGCTGCCTCTCAGAGTTACAGTGTGGGATGCAGGTGTCTGAACTACCTGCTTTAATGCCCAGTCCTGGTTCTGTTTCTTGAGCTAGCAGCATAATTAGTCCCCAAGACACTTGTCTGCAGACTGAGATGCCAATTTATAAACCCAAAAATTAGGAAGTACTTTTTTTTTTTGGACAGGCAGAGTGGACAGTGAGAGAGAGAGACAGAGAGAAAGGTCTTCCTTTGCCGTTGGTTCACCCTCCAGTGGCCGCTGCGGCTGGCATGCTGTGACCGGCGCACCGCGCTGATCCGATGGCAGGAGCCAGGAGCCAGGTACTTATCCTGGTCTCCCATGGGGTGCAGGGCCCAAGCACTTGGGCCATCCTCCACTGCACTCCCTGGCCACAGCAGAGAGCTGGCCTGCAAGAGGGGCAACTGGGACAGAATCCGGTGCCCCGACCGGGACTAGAACCTGGGGTGCCGGTGCCGCAAGGCGGAGGATTAGCCTAGTGAGCCACGGCGCCGGCCAGTACTTTTTTATTTTAAAGAAAAGTTAGGACTCAGTCTCCAAAGAAAGTGTGCACTGTATATCTTTGATGTCCTGCAAAGTGTCTTTCTTTTTAGGAAAAGAGCGCCATATATCGCCTATCTCACTCGCTGTCGACAAGGTCTGCAGACAACACAGGCTCACCTGGAAAGGCTGTTGCAAAGGGTTTTGCGGGACAAAGAAGTAGCCAATCGATACTTTACCACCGTCTGTGTGAGGTTACTGCTTGAGAGCAAAGAAAAGAAGATCAGGGAATTCATTCAAGGTAACTAACTATCTTCAGATTAACCATGACTCCAGCCAGTCTGTATTGGGAAAACTGGGACATTTTGTTTTGCTTTGCAGTTTGTTCAAACATCTGTGTGCTTTACCACAGTTCCTTAACAGCTAGTAGTTTTAGAGATGCGTAGTAATTAAACTTTGGGCCCCTGTACCCGTGTGAGGTGTCAAGCCACTTTGATGTCAAGCCACTTACTGCATTTTTCTCCTGGATTGGAATATTTATTTATTTTTTTATTTTTTTGACAGGCAGAGTGGACAGTGAGAGAGAGAGACAGAGAGAAAGGTCTTCCTTTGCCGTTGGTTCACCCTCCAGTGGCCGCTGTGGCCGGCGCGCTGCAACCGGCGCACCATGCTGATCCGAAGGCAGGAGCCAGGTGCTTCTCCTGGTCTCCCATGGGGTGCAGGACCCAAGCACTTGGGCCATCCTCCACTGCACTCCCTGGCCACAGCAGAGAGCTGGCCTGGAAGAGGTGCAACCGGGACAGAATCTGGTGCCCCGACTGGGACTAGAACCTGGTGTGCCGGCGCCGCAAGGCGGAGGATTAGCCTAGTGAGCCGCGGCGCCGGCTGGAATATTCATTTTTTTTAAAGATTTATTTTAATTTTTTTGAAAGGCAGAGTTACAGAGAGAGATCTTCCATCTGCTGGTTCTCTCCCTAAATGCCCTCCATGGCTCGGGGTGGGGCAGGCTGAAACCAGGAACCAGGCACTTCCCCCCAGGTCTCCCACATGGGTCCAAGGGCCCAAGCACTTGGGCCATCTTCCTCTGCTTTCCCAGGTGCATGGGATCAGATCAGCTGGATCAGAAATGCAGCAGCCGGGACTAGAACCGGCGCCCATGTGGGATGCCGGCACAGCAGGTCAAGGCTTAACCCTCTGCACCACAGCGCTAGCTCAAGATTTATAGATTTCTTAGTTTCTCCTGATTTTAAAAATTTGGCTGCATATTTTTCTTTTTTTTTTTTTAAAGATTTATTTATTGTGGGGGGAAAAAGCCACTGTAATCTGAAAGCTGTACTTTGGAAATTTGTATTTATTAAATAAAAGTTAAAAAAATAAATAAAGTCAATCAATCATTCTCTCAAAAAAAAATTTATTTATTCATTTGAAAGTCAGAGTTATACAGACTAAAAGGACACATCCCAATACTTTTGGCTTTAAAATCATGATGTCTGCATTGCTAGTGACTATGTTCCAAGACCATGCCTCACTCCACAGTGGATGTGTGAAATGTGGTACTGAACTCTGTGTGCAACACTGATAACTGAATGCTCTTATTGGCTCATGGGCAGGTAGTAAGTAGAGCATGGATGTGCCATACCAAGGGATGATTGACATTCCAAGTGGGACTGAGCAGAATAGCTCAAGATTTCATCACACTGCTTAGAATGCTGTGCAGTTTAGGATTTATGGATTGTTTACTTCTGGAATTTTCCATTTATTAGTTTCACACCTCAAGTAACGAAATATGGAAAGCAAAACCATAAATAAGGAAGGACTAACTACTGTAGTTAATTTTTTAAAAGTTATTCAGATAGTATATTTTTAAAATTATTATTTTGCATTGGAGACTTTCAGAAACTCACAGCAGCTGATGATAAAACTGCTCAGGTAGAAGACTTTCTGCAGTTCCTGTATGGTGCCATGGCCCAGGATGTCATATGGCAAAACGCAAGTGAAGAGCAGCTGCAGGATGCTCAGCTGGCCATCGAACGGAGTGTGATGAACCGGATTTTCAAGCTGGCTTTCTACCCTAATCAGGACGGAGACATACTTCGTGACCAGTGAGTGCTTCTACATTGAGTGCCTGTTGTCGCACTGTGAGGGATGTGTCAGATAGCCTCATATTCAGCAAGCTATCCCTGTGATTTAGGGCCTGAAAGTAAAAGGAAATGCACATTACCACTTTTCACCCACCAGATATATGATCGGAAGGCATAGTAGTACCCATTGTCAGGGATGTGGGCAGTCAGGCTGGAAGAAGTGTGTATGGGTGTGGCCATTTTGGATTGCACTGCCTAGGGTGTTCTTCCCTGCCCTCTTTCTGTGTTTAACTCTTACTATCATTCAGATCTTTTTTTTTCCTTTAAAGAAATACCTAAGTTAATCAAGGGTGTTTTTGTTGTTGTTATTTTAAAAAGATTTATTTATTTGAAAGGCAGAGGTACAGAGGGAGAGGAAGAGACAGATCTTCCATCCACTTGTTCAGTCACAGAACGGCTGCAGTAGCCACGGCTGGGCCAGGCCTGAGCCAGGAGCTTCATTCCTGTCTGCCACATGGGTGCAGGGGCCCAAGCACTTGGGCCATCTTCTACTGCTTTCCCAGGCACAATAGCGAGAAGCTGGATCAGAAATAGAGAAGCTGGGTCAGAAATAGAGAAGCTGGGTCTCAAACTGGCACCCACTACACCACAACTCCAGCCCTTAGCCTTTCAGTTCTTGACTCGAGCCTCATTTTCTTGGGAAACCTTTCCTCACTAGATCCTGGTATGGCTGTCTCAGGCCTGGGCACCTTTGTTTTTGTTTGTTTGTTTGTTTTTAAAGATGTATTTATTTATTTTGAAAGGCAGAGTTACAGAGAGGCAGAGGCAGAGAGAGAGGTCTTCCATCCATAGGTTCACTCCCCAGATATCTGCAACGGCCGGAGCTGTGCCGATCCGAAGCCAGGAGTTGCTTTTGGGCCTCCTATGTGGGTACAAGGGCCCAAGGACTTGGGCCATCTTCTGCTGCTTTCCCAGCCCATATGGGATGCTGGCACTGCAGGTGGCAGCTTTACCCGCTATGCCACAGTGCTGGCCCCAGGCGCCTTTGTTGTTGAAAAATAATTTGCCATTTTTTTCAGTCTTGGTAAAACTCAGCCCAGCACAACTGACGGTTTTTTGAGGTGGCAGGTTGTCCTGTGCATTGTAGGGCGTCTAGTGGCGTCCTTGGTCTCTCACACTAGATGCTAGTAGCAGCCACCAGTGTGATGGCCAGACACTGTCTGCAGACATCACAAACCTCTCCTCGATCTTCAACACTGCTTTTTTTTTTTGTTTTTTAAGATTTATTTATTTATTTGAAAGAGTTACACAGAGAGAGGAGAGGCAGAGAGAAAGAGGTCTTTCATCCAATGGTTCACTCCCCAGTTGGCCGCAATGGCTGGAGCTGCACTGATCCGAAGCCAGGAGCCAGGTGCTTCTTCCAGGTCTTCCACATGGGTGCAGGGGCCCAAGGACTTGGGCTGTCTTCTACTGCTTTCCCAGGCCACAGCAGAGAGCTGGATCAGAAATAGAGCAGCTGGGTCTCGAACTGGCACCCATATGGAACGCCAGCACTTCAGGCCAGGGTGTTAACCTGCTGCACCACAGCGTCAGCCCCCATCACTGTTTTGTGTGAATGTTTGATGAATGCTACCTTCTCCACTAGAGTGTCCCCTCTGTGAGAGCAGGAAATAGTGCTTATATTCACTATACCACAGTGCTTAGCACAGGGCCTGGCTTCTAGTGTGTGTTCATTACATATTTAATAGAAATGAGCATTAACCTGAGTATCATTAAACATCTAGAATGGTGACATCAGCTCTTTTAAGGCAGGGAAACCATAGAGGATTTGACATTTTTATTTTCCTCTTTCTTGAGCATCGTGACCTATTTTGCCCTAAGCATGTTGAAACTGTCACTGATGGTTTCCTGTGCCTGGTGACTCTCAGGGTTCTGTGTAATAGGATCTCAGGTGGGCTGTGAGTGGTTTATGTAAGATTTTCCTATAGAGAGATTTTTAAGACACTGCCTATGTATATTTGGAGAACTCATTTTTCTAGGACATGGGTTAGCATCAGTCCAACCTGCGTCCCTTGAGTGTTCATAGTCTCAGGAGCTGTTAGCTCAGCCACATGTCTGTACATAATACGCCCTGCTGTTCTCTGCAGAACACCAGGTTTTAGCTTCTGACATGGGACAGGAATGGGAACATTCAAATTGTACTTAATGCAGAGAGGAACTGCAAAGCAGATTCTTTTTACCCACTCCTCCATAGCATTTCTACAAGTTTTACAGAATGTGAAAGTGGACACCGTGTCCTGGAAGGAACGCTAGAAGCCAGGAAGCTCAGTTTAGCTCCTGCAAGTCACCCTGTGGAGTCTTAGGCAAATCCGTTACTGTTTGAAGCTTCATCATCTTCATATACAGAATGAGGGGTTGAGCAGGTGACTGGGGCCATTTTCTACCTAACATTCGTGGTCTTTGTTTCTAGCTACACTCTACTTCTCCCTTTTTTCCATCTGCCTTTTCCTCTACTTTATTTAGTGGTGTATCCAAGCAGCTCCTGGGCTCAGGGTTCCTCTCCTGTGTGTCTTGAAATGCACTCTTAGTCCAGGAAAGGAGGACTTCCTCCTTGTCTCTGCGTCTCCTCAGCTCACTCCCTCAGCATTTCTAAGCAGAGCCTTTTTTGACAAGAAAGAAACTTATAGCTCAACCGTAATTGTAATCCGTGTGTAGAAATAAGATTAAAATGTCCTAAACATTTTGGAAAATATTTTATGATTTGGATAGCTTATTTTCTGAAATGTGTGTTTATGTATATATTTTTGTGGATTTTCAGGGTTCTTCATGAACATATCCAGAGATTGTCTAAAGTAGTGACTGCCAATCATAGAGCTCTTCAGATACCAGAGGTAATGCAGGTTTCTGTGGTGTGTGTGATAGTAACCAACCGCTGTGTGATAGACCACTGCATAGTACCACTTTTTCAAGGAGCTGGAATATGATAAAATATAATTCAGTCTAACCTTCAAGTTTCCAAAGGTGATTCTGGGAGACATTCTCTGGCATGAAAAGGGGCCTGAGAGCCTGCAGGGAAGAACCCTTCCCTGAAGCCCCTCAGGGCCAGGTAGAGCCTCATCCCAGCCCTGATGTCCCGGGCCAAGGTGGCCATCGGTGCTTGTGTAGTCAGGTCATGCTGGAGGAAGGGCTGGTGTCCTGCAAAGAGTGTGAGAACTGCTGTTCCAGGACAGGGCTTGGATTTCAGCTCAGATTCTCTCTAGTTGTTGAAACCAGTGGTTTTGTGTGTGTGTGTGTGTGTGTGTATGGTTTTTTTTTTTTTTTTAAGATTTATTTATTTATTTGAAAGAGTTACACAGAGAGAGAAGGAGAGGCAGAGAGAGAAGTCTTCCATTCACTGGTTCACTCCCCAGTTGGAGCTGCGCAATCTGATGCTAGGAGCCAGGAGCTTCTTTCTGGGTCTCCCACACAGGTGCAGGGGCCCAAGGACTTGGGCCATCTTCTACTGCCCTCCCAGGCCATAGCAGAGAGCTTGATCAGAAGTGGAGCAGGGACCGGCGCTGTGGCGCAGCGGGTTAAAGCCCTGGCCTGAAGCGCTGGCATCCCATGTGGGCGCCGGTTCGAGTCCCGGCTGCTCCTCTTCCGATCCTGTTCTCTGCTATGGCCTGGGAAAGCAGTAGAAGATGGCCCAGGTCCTTGGGCCCCTGCACCCACGTGGGAAACTCGGAGGAAGCTCCTGGCTTCAGATCAGCAAATCTCCGGCCATTGCGGCCATCTGAGGAGTGAACCAGCAGATGGAAGACCTCTCTCTCTTTCTCTACCTCTCTCTGTAACTCTGTCTTTCAAATAAATAAAATAAATCTGAAAAAAAAAAAAAAAGTGGAACAGCCGAGACTCAAAGTGGCACCCATTTGGGATGCTGGCAGTGTAGGCAGCAGCTTAACCTGCTACACCACACTGCTGGCCCCAGAAGCCAGTGTTTTTACCTATTACATCTCTCATCTCTTACAAAATAAGAAAACAAGAAAATTTCAGGTATTTTAAGTTTTTAAATGAAAAGCTCTACTAATAAACATTAACTTGCATAAAATTCTTAACAGTCTGTTTCTGGAATCTGTTATTTGTAGAAGTACTGCAACAATGGTGCATATGATTTTTAAAAAATGATTAGGAGCAAGTGTTTGGTGCAGCAGTTAAGTGCAGCTGGGAACCCCTGTGTCCCATGTTATGGTGCCGTGGGTTTGAGTCCTAGCTCTGCTTCCTGCTAATGCGCGCGCGCCCTGGCAGGTAGCAGGTGACTCACGTACTTGATTCCCTGACCCAGATGGGAGACCTGGATTGAGGTCCTGGCTTCTGGCTTATGTCTGGCCCAACCCTGAGTGTTGTGGGTATTTGTGGCTTTACCCCCTATGCCACAGCACCAGCCCCCCATCCCTAATTTTACAATTATCCTCTTTAGTAACTTTTTTGTGCTTTTGGAATCAGCTACTACATATAGAGAAGTTCCTCTTTAGCTATTTAATGAAGATAATTGTTTGAAATGTTATGCATTCTGGGTTCTGTGTTATATATGCCCTTTCTGTATTAATGGATGTATGGGTTGCTGTATTTTAAAATGAGGAGCAAATTATTTAAAAGTTAAAAGCTTCAATCTTGGATGGAAGGGGAAAGAACCCACTTTGCCCTCTACTTCCTGACCTGAAGGCTCAGTGCTGAGCCTTCAGTGCCCAGGGTTGCCGCTTGATTCAGGGTCTGTCTGTTGTCCTAACCTAGGTTTACCTTCGGGAGGCGCCCTGGCCATCTGCACAGTCAGAAATCAGGACGATAAGTGCGTACAAAACGCCCCGGGACAAGGTGCAGTGCATCCTGCGAATGTGCTCCACGATCATGAACCTCCTGAGCCTGGCCAACGAGGACTCTGTCCCTGGAGCTGACGACTTCGTCCCCGTGCTGGTGTTTGTGTTGATAAAGGTGGGCCGCGTCCTGCGTGCAGTCAGAGCTTGTCTGTCCCGCTGAGCAGGGGGCAGGGTGCAGCTCGGCGTGACGTTACACACTTTGGCTCTTCTCCAGGGTTCAAGCTCTGTGTAACCCAGAAGGAAAGTATCAAATGTTGGAACTTGATCTGTCCACAAGTTAGGGTGGAAGCCACTAGATGAATGAACACTCGGGCTTCTAAAGCAGTGCCTGAGGTTCATGCTTGGAGCTCAGTGTGTAATGATTGAGTGGATGGATGAGGGCAGGCTCTTAAACATTTCTTCTTTCACATGAAGTTCTTTGTAGTGCTTGGCATATGGACCACCAAATTTACCAATCATTTCTCCTCTTTTAGCCTTTTATCTTGCAGTAAATTATTTTAAGAAGTACTGACATCTCTTGTCCTTTGACTTTAAAATTACGGTTTTATTATTTAAATGATTTATTTCAGATATTTTGTGGGTTATCATGCAGTGTGGGTGCACATATCCACTACGTGACTGAATCACTCAGGGATTCCCGTCAGCTCAGCCATCTGTTGGTGTCTAAAGTGTGTCTGACGTAGTCCTGTGTTTAATTCCTAATATTTCGGCCGGCGCTGCAGCTCACTAGGCTAATCCTTCGCCTTGCGGCGCTGGCACACCGGGTTCTAGTCCCGGTCAGGGCGCCGGATTCTGTCCCGGTTGCCCCTCTTCCAGGCCAGCTCTCTGCTGTGGCCCGGGAAGGCAGTGGAGGATGGCCCAAGTGCTTGGGCCCTGCACCCCATGGGAGACCAGGATAAGTACCTGGCTCCTGCCATCGGATCAGTGCGGTGCGCCGCCATCCAGCCGTTGGAGGGTGAACCAACGGCAAAGGAAGACCTTTCTCTCTGTCTCTCTTTCTCACTGTCCACTCTGCCTGTCAAAAAAAAAAAAAATTCCTAATATTTGCAGTAATTGCAACCTGAACACTTAGCTTGCAGATGCAGCTCCTCCAGGCAGGTTTTGTGCTGCCTCCTCTCATGATCTCTCTGGTCCCTCTGCAGAGCCAGTTGAAGCTGGTTTTAAGGAAAAGGCCTTTTAACTTGTTAACAACCAGTGTCCGTTCTCTTCATATGAAAAAGGTGACAAGTGAGAAGTTCTGTGTTACCTCCTACAACAGAGGGAGTATTATCTGTTAATCTTTCTTCTTTCTTAGCTGACTCTACCTGAACTTGCCAGATAGAACTCAGTTTGCGTACAGTATTTATTTCTTTGTCTACCATTCTGGAATCCTGGGATGTCAGACCACTGGAGTTCGTTTGTTCTCCTGTGAGACCAGTGCAAGTTGCAGCATAGGAAGTTCTAGAAAGTACAGTGAAGTTGGTACCTGGGTTGCATTTCCTGTATATGGTTGTTACAGTATGTAGGAGTTACAGATACTTCCAAAAATTGCATTTTGGATTATTTTCAAGAGGGCTGGTATCTCTTTCTGAGACACTTAAATAATTTTGCAGAGCTCTACCTCCAAGGAATTGACTCCTTTTCTTTTTCATTTCTCTAGGCAAATCCACCCTGTTTGCTGTCTACTGTACAGTATATCAGTAGCTTTTATGCCAGCTGTCTGTCTGGGGAGGAGTCCTACTGGTGGATGCAGTTCACAGCAGCAGTGGAATTCATAAAAACCATCGATGACCGGAAGTGACCAAGACTAAGGCCCACCAAAGAGGCAGACTGTCAGTTGGGCAAATAGATCTCTAAGAGAATGAGCCAGCTGCTCTGAAGGCTGAAGATTGTTTTTGTATAGTACTGTACAGCATTCAGACATTTTAAAATAGATCTTTACTAAACAGATGAATGAGCTAACAAGCAGGTTCTCTTTTCTTTGGGCTCTTTTCCTTTCTGGGTTACATATTTTCTTTCCTTGTCCCCACGTAGAAAATACTACTGCAAAAAGGGACCACTTTTTTGGGTATTTTGAAATATTTTTAAAAAACAAAATCTCATAGAAAATTCCTAGACTTCCATTCATGGATACCTGTTCTTTCCTTATATTTTAAAAAAGAACAATACACCTCTTTTAAGATGCTGTCTTACCTGATTTGCATCTAATGGAAGCAGAGTACCAGCCGCACCGAGGATTGTAGTAGTGGTGCATTAGTGGCATTATCTATAAATACACTCACCTAAATGGAGAAGCTAAGAAAGAAATGTAAATATAATATATATTTATATTCGATGTGCCAAGGACATCTCAGATACTAATAAACAAGGAATATTGCTGATGGTAGGTTGTGACATACTGTCTTGTGAAATGGTTTCCTTGACAAAATTTAAGCTGAGCTTAAAAGCAAGAAACAGAAATACACAGAAGTATTTATTAACATGGACTAGTTTATTGAACTTTGTAGGTGTGGAACTGGATCCATACACAGGGCTGCCTTTGATGAGGAGTGTAAAAGTCGCAGAGTAAGTCACTTGGACATGTCTCACCCTGGAAGTGTCTGGACTCTCCAATGGGCATGCGTTACGTAAGGACAATAGACACCTAATGTGTTATGGTGGCACTTCTCATCTGAAATACTAACCATACTGTAGAAACCCCAGACAGAGCTCCTTACAAACCTTTAATTGTAATATATTTTTGATGATTATTCACATTGAATGCACAGACCAGGAATTCAGTGAATGTCATTTTTTTTAAACTAATTTGTATTGTCTACTCTAGTGATACAAGTTTACTAGTGATGAACTATTTTAATCAACCACACTACTCTTATGGGGAAAAGTCTATTTTGGCAGGTTTCTGTGCCTTTATTTCCTTCTTCTGGAAAGAAGCCCGTGTTTCAGTAGTCTGATTTGTGTTGTGTATCGATTGTTATCAGGAGTGGGTTTTGGTGCCTGAGCCACTGGCCAGGGAGACACAGCAAAGCTTCAAGCACAAGTCATGTACATGGGCCACCCGGGCTGGCCTCACTCAGCTTCTCAGGCCCGGGGCTGCGTCCCTTGTTGTTGGCGGCATTTCCAGACTTTTCTAAGGGAGCCAGGGCACGCAGCCTTGAGTGGGTGAGTGCAGAGCCATTTGCCCCTTTCATAAAGATCTGTGTTTCCTAAGGCCTAAAGAAGCTGGGTTTGCTTTATGCCTCCACCTCTTCTCACTCATTTATTTAAAAATACCAAAAGTAATACGTTGTATGGGAGTGTGGGATGTGGTTTCTGTCTTATAGGAGAGATCAGACGTAAACCAGTACTACAGAATGTCCATTTGAATGTCAAGAGAGCCGTGCACAGGATCATACTGCCGTGTCAAACCTGTCCAGGTACTAGAAGTCAGATTCCATCATCAACACAAGACAGGCTGTGACATGGTACCTGAGACCTAGACGGGAGTCCATGTACTTCAGCCTTGATTCAGTAAATATTCAATCAACAGTAGACTCTGGGTAGCTGAAATGCACTGTTACGGGATTTAGCTCATAAATCAATGAGTGTTTTCCTCCACAAGGGTTGCTAAATATATTTCATGTTACCACTGTGGAAATAAATGCAGATTGGACATCGCAGCAGGACTGTTTTCTGTGGAAGAGAAGCTGTGGCTTTGGGGTCGGGAGCCAGCCTGGAACAGGAGAGCGGGCTCTCGAGTGCTTGAGCCAGTGGTGAGGGTAGAATTCGGCCCTGGTGGCACCTCCTGGCTCGCTGCTGGCAGAGCAGGGCCCAGCTGCTGCAGGTGGCTGAGTGTCCCTCGGGCACCCTGGCTGAGGAAGCACCGCCTCAGCCTCACCATCGCTGCCTTCGGTGTGGCAGTGGTGGCGGTCAGACGGGGGTCTGGTTCGGTTCTGCCAGGGAAGAGGAATGGTTGTTCTTCAGTGTTCCCAGCCCTGGTCGTGTGTGAAAAGCACCTGTGGGACGCGGTGGCAGCCACCCGTTGTTACACAGCATTTACAAGGTTAATGGATGTTAAATCAGGAGAGAGTGGGTCAACTCACTGACGTCTTGTAGAATTAACTTCTCTAAGGGAAAAGAAAAATCAATTTGTATTTTGCTTTGATGTTCTACTTCTGGAAGTAATAGAAATAACAGAGAAGACGACCTTACAAATGTCTTTAGAAAAAACCAAACCAGTAAACACTGTTTCCTTTTCTGCATTAGATAAAATCTCAGCCACAGTGATTACTTTCTTCTGCTTTTCTTTATAAAACTTGCTTTTGAAAGCCTTTTATACAGATGGTTCAACTGCGGTAGTCAGGGGGTTGGGCTGTCTGAGGCATTGGCAGTAGATGTGATGCCGGTTTTCTCTCCTGTGTCTGTGACCTGGAAGCTGGGCAGAGTGGACTTTACAGACAAATGTCCCTGAGTTGCAGGAGAGAACAAAACCCAGGCCAAACAGCAAGACCTAGGAAGCTGGAGCTGACTACATGCCAGACCGCGATACCCTTTTCCTATTGTTTGCCACGCGAATTCCAGTTTGGGCCAAGAAAGGGTCAAGTTGGTGTTCCAAATGTTTGAGGCTTAAAACTGTCTTGGGTGTGATAAGAGCACGTGGGGACATGTGCTCGGAACCCCTGGTGGGTTGCATGGAAGTGATAGAGCGTCGTGGAGGTCACAGCCTCAGTGTGTGTGCCCTGGACGTGCCTCCTGCCTCTCCAGTCCCCGCTTTGTCTCATTAAAGAGAAGTCTGTTTCCCTCTTCTGATGACTGTATTTTGTGTGGAATTACTATAATTGGTGGGGTGGGGGGCAGGAATAATCTTGATGGGCAAAGAATTTTTACTCAGTGGATGAACTAAATCAATGATGAGATATTTGGAATAATTTGAATGCCCAGCTGCCGAGATCTTTGCCAGATTGATGCTTATTTATTATGCTTTAGAATGTACATTACCCAAGAAGTAGGGTGGCCAGGAATAGCTGTGTTACTCTTGAGAACCCCTGGAGAATTGAAGATAGAGTTTGCTTCCTTTAAGGTTGTGGCTGGGCTGTGGCGGCACTGCTACGTCCCCAGCTCCTGGGCTGCAGATGTGAAGTCCCAAGCCAGAGGAAGGCAGGGCCACACGCCTTAAGAATCCACCTCTGCTGGGCTGGTACTCTGTCTTGCCTGCCATGTTCTTCTTGTCTTTGCCTGTATGAAAAAGCTTTGTTCTGCCTCTCCTCTTGAAACCTCTAACACCTTTCTGTCAGCCTCAGTGAGCTGGCACAGCCTTGTCTGTGAGTAGGAAGCTATCCCGACCCCTAACATGATTACTAATGTGTAATAGCATCCAGCAAAACTGATTAAAGAGGGAGAGCAGTTTAATTCACTGGGTTTTATGTTTCCATCATCTATAATGTGTTCAGAAGCTTTTCTGAAAATGTGACTTCTTGAATGTTACTGATGTTCGTGAATTCCTGCTTGCCTTTTTACCTGAACAGCCTCGTGTTTGTTGAGTGTGGCCAGAGAAGGAACTAGAGTGACCCGAGAGTGAGGACCCAGGTGGTCTGGGAGTGACGACGGCTCCTGTTGTAATGCACTTTCTGACTGGCCCCTGAATATGGTAGCTGTTCGTCAGCCTTGGTTCTGAAAGCCAGAGTGTTGGATGTGGTCACAATATTCATGAAGCCTTCACACATCTCTTCAGCAGAGGGAAGTCACCGGTAACCAGGAGCCCCAGCTGGCAGGAAGCTGCCATCCCTGTACTGTGACAGTGGGTTTAGAAGGAAGCATTTAAAAACTGGCTTAAGACCCAGTTCTCATTCCTTCTTTTTTTTTTTTTTTTTTTTTTTTTTAAGATTTTATTTATTTATTTGACAGGTAAGTTACAGACAGTGAGAGAGAGAGAAACAGAGAGAAAGGTCTTCCTTCCGTTGGTTCACTCCCCAAATGGCCGCAATGGCTGGAGCTGTGCCGGTCTGAAATCAGGATTCCTCCTGGTTTTTCAGACGAGTGCAGGGGCCCAGGGACCTGGGCCACCCTTCACTGCTATCCCAGGCCATAGCAGAGAGCTGGACTGAAAGAGGAGCAGCTGGGACTAGAAACGGTGCCCATATGGGATGCCGGCACCGCAGGCGGAGGATTAACCTACTGTGTCACCACGCCGGCCCCTTCCTTCTGTATTAAAATGAATTCTGTGACTTGCTTTGAGCTGAAAATGGAATTCAGTGTTTCTTGCCAACTTGAGTTGCCTGTGTCTCTTGGACTCCTGCTATGATTATGCCCACCGGCCCTCCGTCCAGGACAGTGGCTCTGTAGCTTTTCCCGGAGGATGCTGAGCTGGGCATCCTGCTGCTGTCCCGGAGGAGATGAGTGGAGTTGGAAGCCAGGTCCAGAGTGCTCTTGGAGGCACATGTGTCCTCTCCCTAAAGATTAAAGTTTTTTTTTTTTTTAATAAAGATTTTATTTATTTGAGAGGTAAGTTATAGACAGAGGGAGAGACAGAAAAAGGTCTTCCATTTGCTGGTTCACTCCCAAAATGGCCGTAATGGCCAGAGCTGGGCCGATCTTAACCCAGCAGCCAGGAGCTGCTTCTGGGTCTCCCGTGCGGGTGCAGGGCCCAAGCACTTGGGCCATCCTCCACTGCACTCCCTGGCCACAGCAGGGAGGTGGATCAGAAGTGGAGTATCCAGGACTTGAACCAGCGCCAATGTGGGATGCTGGCGCCACAGCCCCAACATTAGTCTTCAGTGAAGAGATTTTGCTTCAGTTATTTCACTGCAGAAGAATCCTTCTATCTGTTTACAACAGTAAAATGTAATCTGTAGACTTTTGAAAAATTGACCAAAGAACAATATATTGACTAAAAAAATCTGTGGATGTGGCAGTCCAGGAAGAATCTGTGCTAAGATGGAATCGCTGTCAGTTCCAACTTATTGGACCTGGTGTAGATGATGAACTTGAAAACTGGAAATCTTACTCCTTTTCCTTTTTATTTATTTATTTATTTATTTTGACAGGCAGAGTGGACAGTGAGAGAGAGGAGAGAGAGAGAGACAAGAGAGAAAGGTCTTCCTTTGCCGTTGGTTCACCCTCCAATGGCTGCCGTGGCCGGTGCGCTGCGGCCGGCGCACCGCGCTGATCCGAAGGCAGGAGCCAAGTGCTTCTCCTGGTCTCCCATGGGGTGCAGGGCCCAAGCACCTGGGCCATCCTCCACTGCACTCCCAGGCCACAGCAGAGAGCTGGCCTGGAAGAGGGGCAACCGGGACAGAATCCGGCGCCCCGACCAGGACTAGAACCCGGGGTGCCGGCGCCTCAGGCGGAGGATTAGCCTAGTGAGCCGCGGCGCCGGCCCAGAAACAGGAACTTCTATACATGGATTTCTCAGGTGACCCTTACTGCTGGGAGGTTGAGAATACCGGGAGAGCCCGTGTTTCCTAAGGTGTCAACCAGTGGCCCTCCTACCTATGTCGTCCTCCTGGAGGTGCTCATGAAACTGCAAATTCATGTCCCCCCCACCCCCATGCGGTCAATTTCTGGAGCAGATCCTGGAAAAATGCATTAGCTGGCTCCCCATCTTTAGCTCACTAAGATTTGCAACCCGTTATGAAAGTATCCAACTCTTTCTTTAGCATTTTTTGTCTTGATTTTATTTCTTTTTTTTTTTTTTTTGACAGGCAGAGTGGACAGTGAGAGAGAGACAGAGAGAGAAAGGTCTTCCTTTGCCGTTGGTTCACCCTCCAATGGCCGCCGCTGCAGCCGGCGCACCGCGCTGATCCGATGGCAGGAGCCAGGAGCCAGGTGCTTTTCCTGGTCTCCCATGGGGTGCAGGGCCCAAGCACCTGGGCCATCCTCCACTGCACTCCCTGGCCATAGCAGAGAGCTGGCCTGGAAGAGGGGCGACCGGGACAGAATCCGGTGCCCCAACCGGGACTAGAACCCGGTGTGCCGGCGCCGCAAGGTGGAGGATTAGCCTATTGAGCCACGGCGCCGGCCTGTCTTGATTTTATTTCAAAGAGGTTTTCTTGTTTTAAGATTTATTTATTTGAAAGGCAGAATTACAGAAAGAAAATCTTCCGTCTGCTGGTTCATTCTCCAGACGGCTGCAACAGCTGGGGCTGGGCCAGGCAGAAGCCAGGAGCTTCCTCTGGGTCTCCCTTGTGTTTGCAGGGCCCCAAGCACTTGGGCCTTCTTCTGCTTTCCCAGGTGCATTAGTAGGCAGCCGGGTTGCAAGTGGAGCATCCAGAACTTAAACTGGTACCTATATGGGATGTTGGGTTTCACGGGTAGCTTAACCGGCTGTGCCGCAGTGCCAGCCCCAAGGCAGAGACTTTACCTGCTGGCTCACTCTCCAGATGACTACAACAGCTAGGGCTGGGCCAGGCTGAAGCCAGGAGCCAGAACTCCAGCTGGGCCTTGTGGGTGGCTGGAACCCAAGTACGTGAGCCTTTACCTGCTGTTTCGCGAGGGTGTGCACTAGCCAGAAGCTGAGAAGTGGAGGAGCAGGCACTCCAGTGTGGGACTGGGTGGGCATCTTAGCTGCTGTGCCAAACACCCCTCCGAGGAAAGCGTTCAAGGTGCTTGGCTGCACAGCTCCTGGGGGCACGCATAGGAGCGGGTGGAGGCTCCTCCCACCCAGCCGGCCCACTTCCTCCTT